TCCCAATAAGAAAAGTTTAGTAAAAATCCCAACTGAGTCAGTATGAGTTTTATTACAGAAAATAAACAGTAACATTGTGATGGTTCATTATAATCTCAGCTATTTGATTATGTAGCATCTAATTCATAAAGTTTAATATGATTTTTATTGAGTATTTTAACTTACCTTTTGTTCTTACCCAGTACCATTCACTTTAAACTGCAATGAATTGCATACTGAGCTATAGATTCCAGATAGGCATTGACCTATTCAATGGTTATGAAGATATTAAATATCGGATTTGTTTAACACAAATTATACATCTTAGTTAACTTTAGTTTATATCTTATATACCGGAAGTATAACGATATCCAAGTATATCGATAGTAAACAAAGAAGGATTTTAAACCTTAATCTTTTCTCTAATAAATATATCTTATGTGAGCAAAAGTGGATAGTGGCTAGCAGTGGAATTCAGGACGCGCGCTTCATCTTATTTGGGACTCGTCAGCTGGATGTATCTGCATCTCAGAGTTGATGTTTACTCTGGAACTCGAACCCAGTACCTTTCGCTTCAAACGCCCTCTCGTTATCCACTTAACTACTGAGTCCTTATGGCCACTTTCTTGTGCAATCAGGTGAAGATTGTTTACTTGGATCTTCCGATTACAATTGACAAGTCTCTTATTGGCATATATGCATACTGTGCTATTGCCTTAACTCAAAAGCTTTTTAAGCAAAGATGGATAGTGGCTAGCAGTGGAATCCAGGAATATTCAAGGAAACAATACCAAGTGAATTACATCTTATGTGATTTATGAAAATTTATAACCATTATAATATTATGATTTCGGTAATAGCATTAGTGATCAAGTTCAAGTATAAACAACTATGAATTTAACCAAACATGATATACTAATCTACCAGATTTAATGACCTAATATATTAACGTTTATTAGCTTACACAGAATACTTATCTTCAAGCCTTAATCAAAACAGGGAAAAAAACTAGTCAACAAATCTTCTATATCCTGACTTCGAAATCTAGCTTAATTCTATACATAAACCACAGTCAGACTATCATTGATCACTTCATGATTTTAATTTATCAATGCGGCAAACGGAATTTTATAACTACGAGAAGATTAAAATCTTATACTAATTATTTAATACATTCACATTAAAAGTGTAAATACTGATCTCCTTAAACAATGAACTCCATAGTTTGTCATTCTCACCTATTCGTTCCAGTTTAAAAATACACTTTCTGACAACAATAAAAATATCAGCTCTTCTAAGGATTATAAAAGTTCTGTTCCATTTCATTTATTACATAAGTAAAAATGTAATTCTACCAAGATAACTTATTGGACAAACATTTAGATTTAGTGGAAGGGGTGTTAGGAAGAATGTCTTAAATGAAGTATAACAATCAGCTCATTGATAAATTACTTCAAAATGTTCCTTAGGTTTTAGTGAGAATTATGATTGATGAAGTTTAAACGAATTTTCAACAATGGTATCCCATGACTACTGTATTATATCACGAATTGAACATTGGACGCCAACTCGGTGATCTTAATAGTTAATCGTTTTCCGTGAAACTTTTAGGTTTTGGATTTGATTTCTGGTACTTCATAGATGTTCTATTGAGATGTGGGATATTAGAACAGAACGGTTGTCCACTGCTCCCGGGTATTCATTAGTATCACAAATAAGACCAACCTGTTGTGAATACTACTTATAAAACTCCAACTCATTAAAAATTACTATTTGTAAGTAGCATAACTGGTGTAACGGAATTCTCAGGCTCAAATTGGAAGTGATCCACATCAATGTGGAAATAGTTTAATCAATACCTATACTCATGTGTTTAAACAATTTTCGATTGTAAATGACCAACAGAATAGGGTTCAATATTTTCCCTTAGTTTCCGCATTTCATTTGTTAATAATCATTGTCCTTAAAAATCAATTGATCAATCATAATAATACCAATACTCTGTCATTATTATTATAGAAGTCACATTGATGAAACGTTTCTGTGCTACCGAAGGTGCTGAGCCAGAAGAAATTAAATGTGTTGATCATCCTTCAGAAGGCGGCAATTCAGAATTATGTATTTGTGGTACGGATAATTGTAATTCTGCTCCACAATTATTGAAATTGTCATTATCATCACCTATTTTTTCTCTCACAATATCAACCATTTACATGATATTTATGAAAATCAACTAATTAATATCATTATTAGTCAACTTTGTAAGTAGTATATACATATTGTTGAGAAACAGAGATATTTTTAGTCAGATATGTTAACCGATGGGGCGAAATGCATCACGTTAGTTTACTACGTAAATGTGTGAAAACACATGCAGACGTACACAAACACCTATATAAGTGCACGCCTACAAAATTGTGCATTTTCCTAATTGGTAGCCGTAATTCATTTGTCATTCTATTCGCCTTTTAAAACTTACATACAATTAGGATGGTTATTATTACTATTATTGTCAATAATATTGTATGTTGTGATGATTGCTTTCTATCGTGTTGTCCATTAGTATCATATACATATAAGTACAATTTAGTTTTTACATAAATTCTACTGTTGTCATTATTAATTATAAATGTACAACAGCATTATATAACATATATATAGTAATATTTACCATACATTCTTTATCAGTAATGCTTGTTGACTTTTAGTAAATGTGGTTTTCCAGCTACTTTTAGGTATATTTGAAGGTGAGCTTGATATTAGATTGATGAAACATCATTTAGATATTTCTAACATAATAATGCATAGGGGTACATATTGTCGATTTGAAATAGTTGTAACGTCGATCCACTACCTGGTCGGTAGAATCCAACCAATTCTTGAAAGATTAGACAAACATGAAATCCGCCATCACTCAGTTATAAATATCTCAGGAGTGTAAGAGACTAGTCCTAGTCTAAATAGTTTAGTGATAACGTCCCAGGTTATAAAACAGTATATCGCTTGAATACCACAAGGACTATTAGTTCTTTCCAGTTTCCAGGCACATCCTGAAAACAAGGTCAAGTAGGGTTTCCTACTAACTGTCTCCAACTACCTAACAAAAACTATTTTCTAACCGAAGATAGAAGGTTTCTTCTCTATTATTGAGTTTCATTATTACCATTGGCTTTATTCAATATTATATTTCTGATGCAACACAGAATTTTCAGTAAAGTATGTCAACAAGTTTCATTTCCTTATTTATTGATCGATTCTGACGATAAATACTGAGTGGTCACCAGTTAGATGTTAGCAGACCAGTAATCGATATCTGAATAATGTTCATTCTCTTCAACGGATATTACCAGCCATTACGATGTCTCTGATTGTACTATTTTGTAACCTGTACAGCGAAAGGTCGTGAATTTCTTAGAAACGCGCCTGAATAGGTCATACGCTTAATAGACATAATGATGCATTAATGCAAACAAAAGCAGATAACTTGTTGGAATATTCAGATGGCAGGAACAGGTGGCCCATACATTCAAGTAGGCTGACGTGGTAGGCGTTAATATTGATTAACCGTCAGTCTATCTTGTTATGTCCTAGTGTAGATTAAATTATGGGTAACTTCCGAGGACCATTAATGGACTAATACTCCAGAAATATTCTTATTGTATAATTACTCAGTAATTAGATTAGGTATATTTATATTCCTCTTATTATAAGCTTCATTTTGACCTATCATTTATTATTGTACGATTTACTGTTCTTAAGCTATGTTCAGTTTACTGACTACTGCCTCCTTCGTTCACAGCCACTTTTTGACTTTATTGTGTACAAATGTTATTTCCTATTTTATGATGCGTTGTGGTCTCTTTGTTTGATATATAAACATAGTATGTTTGAAATATTTGATTCGCATAGTGGAAGCTGGTATTGGTGTTCTGGACTCAAGTGGACGGGCTAGGCGGACATAGGACGAATAAGGACGCTAGGCTGCCCATACCGATCGAACGTCATTGGTTTGGCACAGTGCTAAGATTATATAAGTCGTATTTTGATTGGTGGATAAATCGCGTGATAAACGCCGGACATAAAGTCATAACATATCTAGTCATATTAAATACAAAATGTTCCATAATTCTTCTTAGATGACTCATAACAGTAGCTTAAAAACACTACCAACTCGTACATAACTTACCACTATCTTTTCATGAATAGTCATGAAATTTTTATTCATCAGGTTTGACCTGACATGATTCAAACACATTATCAATTCTCGTTTGTCTAGTTGAAATATCTAAGATGCATTTGAATTTCTTAAATAGGAATTTCATGGTTGACTGTTATCATTGTTCTATGTGTATTTGTATTTACAGTACCACTTTTCGCCAGCTCGCACGTGCTAACTTGGCGTCGGGAATGACTACTCCTCTTGTAATGACCTAATAGTTATAACGACCAAAACATTTTTTCTTTAGATCCTACCATGCTAGGCAGATTCACCAGAGAACGGCTAAGATAGAGACAATGGTGGAATACCGCTGCGATGAGACGGAAATAAGGTGTTTTTCTCAGGTAACGAATACCTACAGCGATGTTGTTTCGACACAATGAAAAGAAGGGGTTAGAGAGGTCCGCATCAAAGAACAGCACGTCTTACTTTACGGATTTACATCTCCGATGGTAAAGCTTTCAAAGCATGGAGTTAACATATCAAGAACTAGTCATAAAAATACTGTGTATAACCAGGTTTAAGCAGATATTCCTTAGACTCCCGCTCCCAGGTAGCAAAGATCGCTACTAATTCAGTTTCCTTTCCAGGCACTTTCTTACGGTTGACTAACTGATTGAGTACCAGTATCAATGATTCTTTAAAAACATTTATTTTGATTTGTTCCTTTTCAAAAATTTAATTCCATCTATCTACATTCTAAGGCCTTCCCTGACATACTTTAATCTAGTGATTTGAAAACAATCTGTAATCTTGACGTTAAAAAAGTGAGTTCCCATTTTATGCTAAAGCCTATTAATACGTAAACCTTCATCACCATTAAGCATAACATCAGATTAGATTAAATGTTGAATAAGTTATTCATAAAAACGTATATTAATTAAAGCAAACATCCCGATAATCCTTAGGATTGGAACATAAGAAGAAAAACTCATGATAAGTTCAAAATATGCGGGAAACCTTTAAGAAAAAAATCCGGGGAAATAATATGTAACATTAATATAATTTAATCAAAGCTATCAATAAGTCAATAGTTCTCTTTTCAAAGATCATTTTGTCAATGTCATTCTCCACAAACACACACACACAGAGAGAAGTCAGAAAATTATTATCACAAAAGAATTACAACCAACAACAAAAGTAGAACATACAAATACATTATTCTCAACGTATCTAATTAATAAGCGAAACAAAACAAAACAAAGCCTGAATACAACATCACAATTCAAAATACAAATTACATTAGTTTCAGGATAAGGGGTGGGCAGGGTAAAAGTAAGCTGATGGATTCTCCTCAATAGTAGTAAAAAGAAATCAACAAAATTCACCACTACTCACAATCACAAAAACAAGTACCATTTTTGGCATATTTTAAGCGACATAAAACTTATTGCCGTTGTCCACAGTGAACAGAAAACAAAAAGAAAGGGAGAAGGAGATGGAGAACAAGGCATAGAAGGAGAGAAAGGATGAATGAATCCCTATTGCTTATAGTTATGGTGATGATCTTTTGTTAACAACGGTTGAGCTGGATATGCGCTACCGTGTGCATAAACGCAAAATAACACTACTTGATGTAATTCAAAGAATCAAAATAGGTTGTGTTTTTTATTATTCATCTAAAATGATAGGATCATATTGAATTAATGAAGAAAGAAAGCAAATGAAGCAAAAAGTAACAAACCGTGAAACCAATGTGGTGATGATGACAAACTGAGAACAGTAACAAAGAAAATACAAACACCGTGTGTGTATGCTCATAACTTGGCCCCGTCTAGCTACTTTCTTTTCATACATAAAATCTATACCTACCTTCATATGTAGTATGGTTTATATTGTTTGTGAATAGTAGTCATACACATACAAACACAGACATGATGCATTACCCTAATATATATGCCAGAAATTGTTGAAATATTTCAAGGAAGCACTAGTCATAACACACTTCAAAGGAATTCGCAAGAATAAATACCAGATTGAGATTGATGTAAATATAAATGGGTATTTTTTTAAAAAAAAAGTTGCACTCCAGCAACAAGAGTACATAAGAAAAGAGTAAGGCATTCGACGAATTTCATGCTGCAAATACTAGGAGAGTGTTTGTTTTGAATAAACAAAACCAAAGTAAGGGATTAAACTAGACCAATAATCTAAGCATCAACCCATATCGATAGTGTTCATATTATCATCAATAATATCAATGTAGTAAACTGGATACTTCTTTATGAATATGACATAGATATTCTGTGTATGAAATCGAATTACCACTGCATCGATCCTCGACCATGAAACGTCGAAACCATAGTTCGCTTTTATCTCCAGGACGTACAACCAATAACTACAACAAAAAGTACACCAAGAAGAATAGAGAAAAGAGATATATACCATTTAGAAAAAAAACAGAAAATCATACATTTGACATCTAATAATGCATCATACAATTTTGGTAGACAGATACGATATAGTTAAATGAAATTGTACCGCCTAACCAATGACAATACAAAAGGTAACGATGGCTATTAGTTCTCATGTGAATTCCTAACGGCAATACCGCACAGTATTGTAGAGCAGAAAATTACTCCGAATCACAAAACACAATGTTTTGATTTAATAGTCCATATCATAGACTCAACTTAAACAACCGTTGAAAAATATCTGTTTTATATTTTAACATGTGACCCCCTTAGTATTGTCCATCCCCATGACAATACATAAGACAGAACCCACGACTTTCAGGTTCAACAGTGTGTTTGACCATCAGATTACAAGGTTACCATCTAATAACATATGTTTAACTTCAAATCAATTAGCAGCATTTCTTCCTGATTTTCAATGGTTGTGATTTAACTAAGGTCAGGTTCATATATCATAACAATAACAAAATTTAAACATATTCACAAAACCCTCACATTCGCGCGTGAGATCGAAGAGCCTAGAATCAAATCCCGTGTGCAGGATCGTGTATGAGCACTGTTGAGGAGTTCCATGCTAGGACGAAATGGGCTTCTAATACTTTCGATTCATGATCTCAATGAGAAAATGCATTTTGTTGAACTGTGCAGTAAAAATGATGTGAAATGAAAGTAGACTAATATGAATACACGGTGAATACTTCTTGAATATAATGTCAATTATCAAAAACATATTTTATGAACAATTTTACTATTTTCCCTTTCTAAAAAAAAGAACTCCCTAATCAATACACTACAAATAACAGTCTTTTATTGTTGTACAAATAGCTAAAGGGGAGAAAAGGCATCATTTAAGCTATTTTTTAAATGATTGCCTCAGAGAATCATCATCTCACCAGCCATTTGGAATATTTGCAAATCAAAAAGACTTCATTTTAATATTTGCTATTCTTAGCGCTTCAAGATCATCTTTAGTATTATCAATATAATATGATTACATCGGATACATCTTTATCAAGTTTATGTAGTTAAGATTTTCACAACTATATTCATTCGTAAAAAGGTTGTACGATCCAAATTCAAAGGCTTAAAATTAGATTAAGTGAAGTAGAAGGTTAGAATATGTGAATTGATATGGTAGTGTCAGTTATTATTTTAAGCCCATATATCTTATTCTAGATTTCGGACAGACCAATCTATTCATTCTACTTGAGTCATATGTTGACCATGTTAGTTATTCGCTTACCAGTCTTCATTGTTTTTATATGAGCGTATATGTGTGTACAGTTCTTATCCCATGTCTCATCACATGTCTGTAGCTTATTTTTGTCTGCCTATAAATATTGGCTAACGCCTGACTAAAAGTGAGTTGGCTTACCAGCCATCTCCACTTTGCATCGCTTCTCTTCCTGCTATTCCATTCACCTTATATACAAAATATATGTATTCAAAATCCCATTCTCGTTGTTTGACTTATTTAATTCCGTTATTGGCTAACGTGATTAAAGTCGAGGCTGATATACGAGAATAGGCGATAGCAAACATCCATACGATCTAAATAGGAGTCAGATCAACGGGCCACTAAAATATTGATTGAAAAAGTTGAAGTATTTTTAATCTAAAAATCATCGACACTTAGAAACGAACATGATGGTTCCACATGCAAACTGATGCTTCAGTTAGTTAGTGAATATCTACCATACAAATAACTACCTATTAATATAGTCATTTTATTAACCAAATTAATAAATACACGTATATAAAATTGTTTGATATTCAATGACAAAGTTAAATTTCATATTAGAAAATCTAAGTCTCTAAAACATGAACACCTCATATTTTCCCATAGATTTCCATCGCCAGTGGTAGAGCCTTTGAAATACTAAGCTAACACATTAAGAACTATTCACAAGAAAGTTATATGTGACCAGTTCCAAGCAATTACCCTTCACGTAATGCAGTCATGCTCCCAGGTTTTTAAACGTACTGCGTATACAGTTTCCTTTCTAGAAAACAGAGAAGTAACAATCATCCATATACCTTAAAAACATTTAAGTTCATCATATTCGTGACTAAAACATGGAAAATTAAGTTCAAAACGTAACAAGTGAAATTCAGGAAAGGAAAATTAAGAATGATATTTAATATTTACAAGATAAAGAAATAATAAGTTCAGCTTCATCATTACGACTTCTTTACGCCATGTCATCTGGTATTTTTAAATGTATACACCACGCCTATCCTGTTATCTTTATAACCAGATAATCTTCATCTACTCAATAATATTGTTGATTGACTGAATTCACGAACATCATCTGTCCATAACACTATGAAGAGGCAGCTGATTAGCCTGACTACCATATTAAAGAATTTTATAGATGATATAAAGTAGTGAATATCTTGAAAATGGAAAATATTAACCTGCATTAAAACTTATAAATTAATATGATCATTGACTATAGTTTGAGTACTCAACTGAACAGAATATATACATTCACAATGGACGTCATTTATTTGTTCAAACAAGAATTAGACATACAGAAAGTTCCCACTTACCCGAGAATAATGCCAACGATTTTTACGAACCTTTTTCAGCAATGTGCACAGATTACGTGAGATTTCGTTATCAAAATTACACAAGTCATAGATCTAAATTATAGGATTATAAAAACAGCATAACGTAATGTAAGTATAAATATTATATTACTTATGAATGAATAAGTAGTTTAAAACATTAGGATATTTAATAGGATTTTTAAACTCAATAGTAGTGAAGAGCTTCTCTAAGTGACCCAGCATCATTTATTAGAAAACCACTGTTCCATAAGACATATGATCAAGTTTTGTTTTTTTTAAAACCATTTATTTGAATGTTTACTATAAAAAGTTGATTCTTCAAGTCCCGTGGGCACAGAACATGATAAAGAGAGTAGACAGATATAAATTTCGACTGAACAACTGTTATAGAGTAGGAGGATTTCTAGGTTTTCTTTCTTTTTTGAACGTTTAGATTACTAAATTATGAATAGAGTACTGATTGATTGATAGTGTGCAATGACTAAAACGTTTTTTGGCTGGAAATTGTTTATGACAGCAAATTTTTGACTCAAAGTTCAATTTAACAGCCACACTACATTCACAAATAGGTGAAGAATCTCGTATATAAAACAGGATTTTTACCCAACGATTGTAAGCAGTGGTAAATAAAGAATGTGATAGAACAAGTCAGCAATTATAGAACTTATCGAGGAGGGTAAGGGATTAAAAGGTTATCAATAAATGAAGCGATTGCAACAAAAAGGTAGTGGACTTTTAGACCAAGAAACTTAGTACTTCTCGCTACTTTTTCAGTTTTGCCCAGTTTATGCAACAAAAATCCGATTGGGAAATCGATATTTTAACCTTTAACTCTTACAAAAGTCGAGATTATTATAATCAAGGTGGATTAAATGGCAACGAACGGCATCGATAAGTTAACTTTAGGGGGTACGCATTAGAGGTTTTAGGATATTTAGGACAGCTTGTCAATGAGTCATAAGAAATGTGCAGAACCTGGCACATGAATATATCAGGTCAAGCTTCCATACCACATCAGTACAACGAGAACAAATTATCAAGACAAATCCCAGAATAGTAGAAGAGAAAGGAAAATAGAGCAATCCAAGTAATAACAGGATTGGAAGAACGATTAAGAGTGTAAAAGACAACTCAAAGAGGATATGCAAATGGTGCATTTAATGAGTGACTTCCATATTTTAAAAGGGCACCGTGTGATTTTGCACAAAGTAATTTGGTTTGCCGTACCTGAATTTTCGTCCAGTATAATAGGTCTATATAAATGGGTCCATACGGTTAAGATCAATAATCAACGGCTCTATGGACTGATGTTTTATTTAGGCCACGCTTAGCATCATTTTAACCTACTTCTACACTACCAGACATTGTATGTCGACATAGGCAGTAACTGCGCACACATGATAAGTGGTCATACTCACCTCAGATAATAAAGATTAAAAACGTTATTAGTGCTGTCTTGAAGCCGTCACCAATCAGAGTCCCAATTTTCATTTTTCCCTAATGCGACGTCTACTATGTCCTCTATAAACTAGTGTCCCCAATCACATACCTGATCAGTACTATTGACCTTGAGTCGACGAGGCTAAGTTCCGAATCGTCCACTATTCGCAAGCTTCTCTCTATGCTCTAACATGAGTTCAAAAGTCAGCAAACAGCTTCTACTACATCTACATTTCAAACAGACATAGTTTATGTACAGACACACTGGACAGCATCACACCATAAAATGAAAAATAATAATGATAATTAAACGAACCAAAAGTGGCTCTGAATAGGAGAAGCTGTAAGTAATACACACTCGTAACAAATTAGAAATGGTAATTCGTATAACAGTAGTTAATGGGTTAACCGAAAGCTCATGATAAATGGAATACATAGACATAGTAATATGGTTGCTAAGTAATTATAAAACCAAATTATAGTTGACAATAATTCGAAAAACCAGTTCGAACTTCAACAATACTTGTTCCGTTATAAAAACTAATCTCAGCACTGCTCACTCAGATGTTCCGAAAAAACACGAGCGACGCGCCAAGAACACCTAAGATCAAAACCCCGCATCGTACGCACGTCTCCCATTTTTATGGACTATGTTTTACGGTGATAGAGAAATACAGAGTGGGTCTCTGCACTGTATACTCCCTCTTTAGTTGGCAGACGGACATCTCGCCTGTGCCACAAGTGACATAAAACTAACTGAGATTCCTAAATCGGTGCCAAGATTTTGTTAGACACAACTACCCCAAGGGAGATGAAACTTCCAAGATAAATGAAATGGACAGAGCATCCAATCACTTGATTCTCTATCACGTTCAAGCGATAACTAAGAACAACTGTTAAACAATATTTTGTACTTAAAGGAGAGAAACGCATTCTACATATGCTTGTATTTCCTCGTTCCCTATATTCTAAATGAACTTTCTAATAACAAATCACTCTATGAGAAGTTAAATTAAGTGGAATTTCTAGGACATCTAATATAAAATGAAGTAAAAAATGGGGGATAGTGAGCCTGTAAACTGAACTATTTTTCTAAGTAGGATTTTAAAATGAAAATAAACCATGTTACACATAAAAATTCTTAGAAAATATCTTTAATTGTAATATCTGATTTTGTCTTACTTTTTCTGATTCAAAATGTTCAGGATTTTGAACATTGAATACTGCTTGAATCCATTCTGACGAAATATTTGGACCAATCCACATGATAAGATAAATTCCATTATCCAATAAATAAGCTGCATCCATTTGTAAACGATCATATGAACAGCGTATAGCAGCTGGAGGATAATGGATATCACCTTCGAAATTCAGTGAAAGATCATGCTAAAATAAGTATTTTTTAAAGAAAGAATGGGGTTGAAATTGAGATAACGCTCATTTTCTAAAGATTACAGGGCAAAACATACTAATACTATCGAGAAAACCGTTTACCAACCTTAAACTCATTTTTATGATACAAAGATTAGAGATATTCGATTAACGAATTAAACAGATGACAATTATAAGTCTGACTAGTTCCAAACGTTCCAAGCCTCTTCTAATTCATAATTTAAGGAATTATATATAAACATATACATATAAATTTACGGAAAACTAAAAACGCTAGGTTAAACTTATGTGTTGTCCAATAGAAGTCTAAATGCAACTCATTTGATAAGTACACGTTTATGTAAACGCATTTGAGTTATGCTGTTGGCGTGTGATAATGGGAAGCCTGACGATACTACCCTGAGCACAACTCCCACCCCACCGAAAGCTGAAGCAAGTGGAAAGAATTTTGAACATCGGACACTAGCATTAGCTACTAGTACAAAATGGGTAAAAAGATGAGCTTTGGGTGCGTGTGTGTGAATGTAGCCTAAAACCGCCGTAACTGTGGAATATTGGAGTCCGATAAAAAATATTCAGTTTTCATAGTATTTCATAGCCATAAAAGCATAGATTCATGTACATGGCTTTGAGCAACACTTTAAATGTAAGGGTTAGTAGTGTGGTGTGTGCTACTTATATTGACATAAGTAGTATATGATGTTGGTCGTGAACAGAAGGTCTGGAAGCAGAGACAAGAGGATCGAACAGTAAAGAATCGAAACAGAATGCAATTTGTATGAAAATGCAAGAACAATGAGGTCTGAGTGATTTTGAGACAATTGATGGACATTTTGCAAATTAAGCATTTTATTTATGATTGTTAGATTTTATTAACAAGTCCTGTAATTTGTGTTAAATACATTCAATTGTCCCCACCCGTGTACTTGTTCACTACAGTAACACTACCCGGTTGTCTAAACCAAAGTAGGTGAGGTGGAGCTGGAACCTGAGACGTAGTGGCTGAAAGTTGAGTCCCTTAATAAATGAATCCCCGCTCCGAATATATATATATATATATATATATATATATATATATATATATATATATATATATATATATATATATAAAGAGAAGTAATTATCAGAGTAAATTCTGATCAAATATACAATAACATACAATAGGATACAAATGAGGATAAATATAACAATTGGATTGTTTAACGTCCATTTGATTGACCAAAAACATTTGCCAACAACGATCATCAATTGTGATACCGTCAGCTGGGTTAAAAACAAAAAAGGTATTAATAATGATAGTAATAACAGTAAAAATAGTAATAATAGTAATAATAATAATAATAATAATAATAATAATAATAATAATATTAAAAGTTTATGTATTCAGCAGAATTAATGACTTTGAAAGTAACATGACAGCCACGAGACCTTAAAGCAGTGAGTTTGATTCCGTGTGTAGTTATGAGATGTTACACCGTGTAACATTTTCAAACTGAACTCAACGAGTTCTTTTCGCAGTTGTTACACCTTACCTTGTAAAATATTATCTATACATACATATATACATTATCGAATTCCAAACTGTCAATCACTTGTGGTTATGATGATGATGATAACTGAGACTAAAGAGAGTATAACATTTTCAGCAAATTTACCTCACAGTTACAAGTCCTCTCACTTATGAATTATCTCGAAATACGGACACCACCAAGTTTCAGACAGTAGTAATAATAACAGTAACAGTAATTCATACTTTACAGACTAGTCAATCAGATTTAAGACAGCAACTATGAGATTTTTGCTCGGCCTTCAAAATGTGATAATGGATAGTTTGTATTTTTACTGAGTAAAGTAAGAAGTGTGCAAAACCTATCAAATTGATATAAACATGATGGTCAATGAATAAGACGAACTCCGGCAAGTTTTTTTTTCTTCGTTCCACGATAAGAAAATAATACAAAACAAATAGGATTCTAATTGTAAATAAGCATTTTAACATGATTTATAAGTTTTTATAAATAATTTAAAGATTATTATCAGAAGTTAGACATTAACACCGTTGGACGCCGGCTCAGTGGTCTAGCGCTCACGCGCAAGACTGAGAGGTCCTGTGTTTAAATCTCGCGGGGGGCAGGATCGTGAATGCGCGCTGCTGAGGAGTCACTACTACAAATTTTTAATCTTAAATCTCAATCCAAATGCAAACATCTAACCCAAACAAATTTAACTTTAAACCTTAGTCTGAATTAAACTTCAAAAGTCCTAACGCTAATCGTTTTGAAATTTTTATGTAGAAAGTTATTCATTCAGGTTATATGTGATCTGATTAGCTAAAAGGTGATTTCATTTTCTTAAAGTCATTTAGGATCCTGAAGGATGTCAGGAAATAAGCATACCTTCGACATAATAGTAATAATTAATAATAATAATAATAAATCAATTAATTAACAAAACACGACAAACCAGGACTAAAAGCTTCAGTTTTCATAAGACATTGTATGTACAGAGGAAATACTTTCATATTTTGTGGTAATACTAATTCACTAGGATTCGAATTTACATCATTCGGACCGCAAGCACAATGACGACGATAAGCAGCCAATGTGTTAGCAGCTCTTGTCGTTAAATCATCCATTACTTGTGAATGTGTACGGTTGAGTAGAGAACGCATTGAATATTTACTCAACCAATTCATATGTGCATCTAATTCGACAAGACGAAATACATCAGGTATCATACTTGTCACTGGAATTGACAGATTATGAATACGTAGCCTTCGTTGTCCAGATATTGAAGTATAAAGACATGCAACCTGTTTGAAATGTAGATATAAGAAACTTTAAATTTATTTAGAATCATTAAAAAAATTAATATGTTACTTTCGTTTGACTAATCCCATTACTACCTACAGCATAAAATTTGAGAAATTTTTTAGTATTTCTCACTTTCAAAAAATCAGACGTAGTAACAAAACGCGTTGTGTTTTGTTGTGTCCGATTCTGAGACTTTTGATATATAACCTTACTATTTGCGAGCTCAATTGACTACTTGAAAGAGAAAACTGAGTAAAAAAGAAACTTTGTATCAGCCGACCGAAGCGAGAAGTAGGTGTACACCTATATATATGTCTTGATAGTTGCTTCTCTCCCTATTGATATGGTGTGGGAATTTGAATCGACTCGTCTATGTCCCAGGTTTAATGTTGCTTATGACTGACCATCTTAAATTATACACTACTAAGTTCGTCAAAGTATTCTCCCGGAATAAATTCTACGACAAAATTCCTAATGATAAGAACTTACTTGAATGAATACGTGTTCACCTTCTTGAAGTTTATCATCATGACGTAATTCTGCAGTGATTGCCATATCTGAACTAACACTAGCCAACTCAACATCAGTTGTATTAGGTAGGTAACAATTACCAAAGAATTCAACAGGTCTAATACCAGTACTTGTTCGAACACGCATAACAGCGTTGAAAGCTTGTAGGTTGGTCAAAGTACGTTGAAGATCGGCTATAAACTGATGACCTTGTAAATCAGCCTGTAAGTATTAGTAATAAGAAGTTTTCATCGTTTTTATCATCTACATTATAAAACAATAATTTAATAACAATGAAAAAGATAAAATTAAATTTCCGAGAATACAAGACAGTATATTTTGACAAAATTGTGTAAGCTGGGTTAGTGAACGGGTGCCCAAACTGAAGCAGGTTTTCTTAAGGAGCCGCTCCTCTAACCTTTGAACCAAGAGTTTTAATCCACAAAACACTGGAGCAACGTCAAAACATCCCACCCCATGGTATCCGGTGACCGAAATAAGTACAAATACTCCTTGTCCCCTTAGGATCCTAAAGCTTGGTTTGGAATTAGATTTTTTACCCCCGTCAAACCGATTTAAACGCCAGATGTTCGCTTTCAGTTTCCAAGCTTTCGTAAAAAACATGGCTGCTGTTTAAAGTTAGTAACTAGAACTTTCCTGACATATAGTATAAACACACAAACGTGTGAGAGCATTGTGAGAGGGAGGATGAACTCTCCCCACTCTGGGTTGCATTATGAAGCTTCAATCATGAATAGAATCAGTCCCTAGCAACATTGAGCAAACAAACAATGAATGAATACTTTCAGACATTGTCATATTTTTACCTATATGCTTAATTAAGGTATGATTCGACAAGCTAACATTCAAAATTATGAAAGTCATCTGAGGCACATTAAGATACAAATTTTTGTGTAGAATTCCAGAACAATAATGATGAACTAAACAATCTCATTTTAGTTATTGAATACATAAAAGAAAGAAGTTTATAATAGTGAAGTGACGGAACAGATCAACAATCGAATCGTTTGAAGTATAATAATATCAACACAGTAAATCTGGAGACGATGTTATGAAGCCTAAGATATGATTAAAATTTGAAAAGGATCTCGGTTTACCGACGTCGCCATCGAATACAATGACTGAATACAGAGAATCTTCGGCTCGGAGAGGCCAATTTTCACAACCATAGAGCAGAAATTCTTTCATAGATATGTTGTAGACCTGACCCTTTACAGCCAGATTAACATTACCAAAGATGACTTAGATTGCCACAAGTTGCTAGGGTTTCCACAACACGTAGTCAGGATAATGATCATATATTCAAAAGGCTAAGTATGATAACTTCCTCCTTGTATCAGTGTCGTGTCGATTAACCGAATTCTGATTTATGACGACAGGGTGCACACTGAATATATTAGTACAGACACCTAATACAATAATCAGACATAATTTAAAGCAATTAGTCAGACATAACTACAAACAACAACTCGGTTAACAATCGACATCCAAACTTTGTGAAAAGGTAGAGCATCGGTCTTTATAAGTGACTATACTAACTCGACAAAGACATCATTATAAAAACTATCAAGTAGATATCTAGTGGGTGACCCAAAATACAAGAAAGAAAAAACGATGAAATGCATCAGGAGTGTACAATGAACAGAATACACTAATAAGCGAAAAAGGAACTATATGACGTTGATAGATTACTAATAGTGCACGATAGAAAGGGGTATAAAACTGTAACGATTCGAAACTCATAACTTCAATAGTTGAAACTTATGCGTTTTAACCATTATTAGGTTACCTGTTAGTCAATTCAACGCCTTATTAGTTAATTTTCGATAATGGAATTGTAAACACACTAATATTAGTTAAGTACACAAGACAACAATTTTTTTCAGAAAAATTTAACTACATACCACACTAAAATATTTTTACTTACCTGGAAACAGTTATATTTGAATAAATGACCAGATGTCAATCTGGGCACTTCGGCTAAAGAAGCAATATCAACAAATGAATTAGGGAAAAGAAAAAGATCTACACTGCAACCAACTTCTACGCATGTTTGACCAAGTCCAACATAAAAATCATTATCTGGAAGAAGTAAAGTCTGTAAAAATAAATGAATAAATAAGGGGTGAATAAAAGTAATCGTGAACAGCTGTTAATATAGAAAAATTATTATTATTATTATTATTATTATTATTATTATTATTATTATTATTATTATTATTATTACTAACTTGTTACCGGGTATAACCACACTCTAAGTATGAGAAATCTAGTGATAGTATATCCTAGTTGCTCAAACAGAAGTAGATAGGGTGGAATTCGAACCTGTAGCTTGGTGACTGAAATTAGAACAAATTAATTATCGAACCACCCTCTTTGTAGGTAAATGGAGACAGTTAACCACATTGATTAAGGCTGCTTTAATGGTAGTCTAGCGTGAATTGACCCGTGAATTCAACTTTAAAAATAAATTTTTGCTTAAAAATCCAACTGGTACTATCTTAAATCTGATGGATTTATCCACAAATCATAATCTCACCCTGGTACATTTATATCAAGTCCTAAGCTCTTAATGAATGAAAGTGTAGGTGGAGTAAAGTCCTAAGTCAAACAGGGGTACGCTGATTGGTCCACTTCCGACCAATCAGTGCTGGACAAAGACTAAGCTGCTAGACGGTACTTATGTAAAAATTCTATATTTAACTGCATTACTTACTCTGTTAGGGATGCTACCCCTAACTCAAAGTCTGAAAAGTCGAAAAAATGAAAATTTCGCAAATGCGATAAAAATGATCTCGGTGGTTTAGTTATAGTATTCCGACACCAGACAATCGGTTTTAAGCGTTATTTAAGCCATAACGCTTCAGACTGGGCTATTTCGTTTACTACCCTACGTATGTGTTGTATGCAGTACAAGTTATATGGCTATGTAGAGCTGAAGGTCTCATATGAGGCTGGAGGTTCGCCATTGGTATTGTGGATGGTTCAGCATTGCTTTGGCAAGTTTTGCTGGCTGTTCATGCACAAAATTGGTTTGCTGGTTAACCGATTTCATTCATACTGGTGGTTGCTTTTCAGTGTTCTCGAGGGCCATTGTCATTGGGACATTGTAAGGCATGTCGCCTTTGCTAACATTAATGAGCTTGACGGTCGTGTTAGCGGAATAGGTCAGCTTTGGCCTGTTCGTGCTGTGCATAATTGATTCACGCGATCATTGATCGGAATAACCATACATGTGATGTGAATGTGTATATGAATGGTCCACCAGGGTGCTTGGTACCTGTGTAATTGCGCCACAGGATTGAGCTGTACTGTTTGGGTTGTCACGTGAAGGTCTGGATGGTGTCTAGTTCTCCTGAAAATCAATATAAAATTACCCTGGCCCACATGGGTATATTGCATATAATATGACACCCTGTTTTGCCACAATACGTGAGCATGTATTTTAGGACGTTACACGTACTAGTCATACCTACTTTAACAAGCTAGAACTTCTGTTTGAAATTCAGAATTTAGATTAGACGAATACTTACAGAAGTATATTAGTTGTAGGTTTACACTACCCCTGAAAGTATTACGACGTAAATGACATCCACTATTGTTATACCTTTAACAGTAAAAGAACAAACAACAATAACAGTAATAATTGGCGAAATCATTACAGTATTCCATGATGATTTCAAAAGTGGGAGACGTGAAAATGGCATTTACCTTTTCTTTTTCAGTTCCTATAAGACGACGATCATCTCGATTTTTCAATTTACCCGGTGCTTCACCAATCGGTAGATTAGTATGTATGACAAATAATTTTCCAGAACGATTTGCAGCACGTAAAGCTTCCATTCCGGATTGGATAGCTGGGCCTAATACACTATCTGTAGGTTGTCTGTTTAAAGCATTCTCTGTACAAAATTGAGTAGGTATCATTTCTAAAATACTAGAAATGATAGCAGGATCAGGTGGTATCAAGAAACCTTCAACTGTAGGCACAAACACATCTTCAATATCCGCTACAATATACATTTGAGGTTTACCATAAGAGTTATAAGTGTTCTGATCTGTAGATTCAGATGTTTGTTGAGCAGATGACGACGACTCACGAGGTACAGTATAGAAGTGAAGTTGATGATCATATGTAATAAATCCCAATCGAATTGGATTAACCATATCTGGTGATGTAAATTTTTCCCTATATTAAGAACACAAAATACTGTAAGACTACTTAGTTACCCTTTTAAAGGAACCTTTAAAAAGAATCGTATAAAACTTTTAGAAAGACAGAATGTTGTCTTCATCGTAAATAAAAACAAATATGATTCATAAAAAACTGCAAAGCATAATAAGTGGAACAATTCAAACTGAAAATTCACCGAAATCAACAATAAAAATACTTAATCTAGTTGCTGGGGATTAGTTACTCCCAGTTTTAAATCTGATTGACAATGTAGTGTGAATTACTGAGCTCAATAATTACATATAGTAGATGTGCGATATTTAGTTTGATATTTATCACCAGAACTATGAAACCTACATTTTATGTATTCTAAAACAAATCGACAAAACAGATCTATAAGTTGTTGATGATAACAACTATGAAATCTGTGTGATGTTCTCACTGAAAAGTAAATCAATGATTAAGGGTACTTTCAGTAACTGAGCATTTCCTCAAAACTTTTATCTTATCAAATAGGTTGACCAAGACAAATTAATATAAGCTATAAATAGAAGTAACGAATCGAAAGTAACGAAACGAAAATTAGTTGGAAAGAAATTTCTTCGCTCGGTTTGTTCCTTTTCTATTTATCGAATGTCAAAACGGGAATTTTCACTATATAGATAGAAGTATTTCCCTGGTCACCTTAAACTTGACACATGTTTCGCTTATATCAAATCCCTATTTTGTGACAAGTATTTACTGATAACAATGAAAAATATTAAAACATCTAAAAAGTTGGAGAAAATAGTATGAGGATTAGGTTTTTTACTGGATTTTCAATTTTTCAACAAGAGAATTTAATTTTTAAAAATGTTTCACATGTGTTGATATTAATGAATAATATAAGGAAGAAATACGTCGTCATTTTAACAACATGATCCATTATGGTAACTTGAACAACTGTATATCTTTCTCAGCCTCTACGTTGATGATGACTGACTGACTGACTGACTAACTGACCACCCTCTATTCTACTCCATTATGGAGGGTTTAAAGTATTTATGATGAACTAATTTTTAGTTAAAACGATGGATAGAAATCTAGTCCATAGACTGTATGACAATAATATGTTATTGACTAATAAATGCTAACGATAGAGAATTATTGACGGAAACCTTAAAGGTAACAATTACAAAAAGATAATACTTGCTATTAGAATGAGAATTCTTTTTACTAAAACGACATTTGTATATACGACAGATTACGCATAAAAATGAATATGATTAGACGTCATTTGAAACCCAAGTGATTACAGACTGCGGGTCTTGTAGACCACTAACAAACCCAATAAAATTGTAATCTTACTAAATAGGCTCAATTATTGCTTGTTATATTGTAATAATAAGTGTGAAATAATCATTACCACTTACCTAGGTAAATTTGGTAGAATACGTTCTACAAACTGGGAACAGAATAGCTGTACTAAACCTGAACGTATAGCAGATTGGGAAACATCGAGTAGAAATATGATGGCTGGAGGTAAAGGTAATTGGTTGTTTTTGCAATATTCCGCTGTTGCTAATAATTCGTAACTGCCTAAACATAGTTCAGGTCTTTGACCTGCATCAACTCGACGTCCAGTATGATCTAAATGAGCAAAATATTCAGCGGCAACTTCAGTTAAACCATTACAAAGTGGACATTGGAACCTTCGACCACCGTCAATAAAATTCATGAAGGGATTCATGTAGGCTTTACATCGAACACATCGAACTGGACCCTATAAAATAAGGACAAATATTTGAAAACTACTACACATCTGGACAGGATCACATGAATCTAAGGGGAAAACACTTATCATCATCAAAATCTGTCTGTAGGACAAGTAAATAAACCAATCAAACAGAAACTGTTTCAACAACACAAGTCCTTCCTACTGTTACAGACTACAAGAAAATTTTTCATAGGACTATCGATTATAAAACATTCAATTCTATTATCCGTTACACAAAATAAAATATCTAGAGGCCAATTCGAAAATGGTTAAGATTTTATTTGAATTATTAGGGACTATTACATATATCTGAGGTGTGGAGAGTCAACTCTCCCTCTCGAAATAGCCTCATATGGACACGCGTAAACAGCCACTGCCGAGGAAGTCCTTCTCATTACCTCCTCGCGACGAGGGTGATGTTTACGAAATTGAGAGGACGAAAAGCGAATGTCCGGCGCTTTAACCAGTTTAATAGACACGGAGGGTCCACCTAAAGAGGTTGCAAAAACCTGATTCCAAACCAATGGTGGACATGGGCTCCGGGATCCTGAATGAAAAGATGGCATACGAACCTATTGTTGGTCACCGGATACCATGAGACTGTATCTCCTGACGTTGCTCCACTGCCTTGTGGATAAGAACCTTTAGTTTGAAGGTTCCGGGTGTGGCTCCCTAAGAGAACCGCCTACTCCGATCTAGGCATATGGGCAATATCACATTCCACACACAGATCAAGTGACTTGTGTGACGCATATGTATTCGGTGCCCTCTTGTAACAATGTTTGTGCTTAAATAAATAAATTGATATTGGTTAGATATATATAAACCTGACTTGCATGATAGAAATAGCCTTTAGAAAACAGTGGGCGGTACTCATTTAGGACCTGACTTTTAGTCACTGAGTTGGGGGTTTAAACTTTATCTTAGGTCGTAACAGGAAAATTACTAGGTTATGAAACTGCAATTTCATTACGAACTAAATGATTCCGAGTGCTGTTAGATATATGAGGGTGGTTATCACTACCTTGTTGTCCATACTGTAGAACGATACTTTCCAAGCTACCTGAAAAGAAAATTGGATAAGTAGTGCTCTTGAAGACCTAGGAGAGTGACTGGAGTGTCCAAGGGACAATTGCATAAGGTCGGCGGCACATGAACTTTTTGCCAGTTCTTGATATGTTAGCTCCGTACTTTTAAAGCCTTACCGTCGACGACGGAAATCTGTGGAGCATTGTGAGGCGTGTCATTTGCAGGGGCTATTTTTTCTAACTCTCTTCTGTTGTGGCGAGGTAGCGATGTTGTAGATAGTGGTTTTCTTACCTACCTCACTGACCCTCATACACAAAATGTATGGCTGAAGATCAAGTGAACTCAACTGTGCTTGATGGATGATTTACATTAATTAGTTTTCGATAGTTAAACAAGTGCTTGAGAGGAATAATAAGTGTCTAAATTTTTATATAAACCAGATTATCTTATCCTTTTTAAGCCTATTAAAGTACTGTAGGTCTACCAGATTCTTAACAAACTCATGCGTTTTTTGCATACGTAATTCTTGTAGAAAACAAAATTTCACATTTACACTTATCCATCTTGTTCGTTTGCTGAAATACAAGTCCTAATTGGGTCACTTAGTTATATATCATTTCGTTACATTGCTGAAAAGAATCGTCGAAAATGTTTAAATTCGCGCACGTTTTGGATTATATCGACAATCGTTAGAACATAGTATATATGTCCAAAATTATTGATCAAAGGAAAAACAGGAATGTCTTAGTAATTTGCTCTAAGCTGTGGATAAATAAGAGAACATATTCAAAGTTGGACTGAATTACAGATTTGTATTTTTGTCAAGGAATAATCTATTTCTTTACACATGATTTCGTAGAATAGAACTGTAAGAACAAATAAACGAATAACAAAGTTGAATAAATCAGAAATGAGTCTCATGTATAATTACGTCAAATAACGAACAATGCTAGCCATTATTGTGTATCTACAGAAATAATTACTGTACATAAACAAAATGTATTTAAACTGATTAAATCGTACTAACAAAAATAGATTCCCGTCATTATTAAGTCTAACAAATTTATTTTAAAGGTATGATTTCATTTCAGCTCATTTTTTAGATAGCTCCCATTTAAAGGATACTACAGACAACTAGCAAAGTTCATAAATACTTATACACACGTCAATAAAAATACAAGTTAATAACTTGAGTATGTACACTTCTTAGTCGATAAGGTACATCACTACGTTACAAATTCCAGTACCGTTTTGCTTTATAACAACTTACTTGTGGACCCATATCACTTATCACAACATTCATATCTTCTGTATGTTGTACTGCAAATGGAGATATTGTAAGTGAAAACGGGATCCCAACAGTTTTAAGGAGATCTGATGAATTCGGAACAGAGTATAGTGAAGATCGAATGAAACAAGGTGCACATGTACCCTGGTCACGTGATATAAAGTCAGTTGTGACTAGAGGAGGCACAACACCTCGTTGTCCTGTATAAAAAGGTCCAGTACACTGAGCCCGATTGCTCTCAATAACCTAAAAAAAAGAATTGAAGGTATAGGTAAATCGTAAGTTAGGTCAAAATCAAAGATAGTGAACATTTATAACCAGGGGTAACAAAGCTTTATGACAAGCTTATGAAAAGAATAACATCATATAACAAAAAGTCGAAATCGCCGAAAGTGATATAAGAAAGTCATTCACCTGTCGACTTACGATGCGACAAAATTATTTCTGGATACTTTTCAGTTACTTAAATAAAATTTTCAAACCATTCCTACTAATAACGTTTACTATAGAAATACTACATATCTACTTTGTTAAGTGCATACCAACAACACACACAACCACAGATTCGTATCATACATTAACTTCAAAATCTTAGACCGTCCACTAGCAATGACGACTATATACACTGCGTGCTTTAATCAAACGTGTAGGTTCTTATTCACAAGCTGGACTAACCCAGTTTACAGGAATTATGAATTACGTATGACAAATAATCCGGTTTTTAAAAGGTGCAGTTTATTAAGCTGTTAGAAATACGTATGTATGAATATAGCCCAGAATGAAGTTTACAACAGAAGAATAATCAACCTATACGCAACCACTAAAAGTTCACTATTAGATTTTGAAGTTGATTATAGGAAACACTGGACCTAGTATATTACACTCGGATTCACAGAACTTGAAGTCGAAATATTAGTACATATTATGACAGACAGGTATAGATTCCATTTGCGACGACGATCAGTTCCATATATATATATATATATATATATATATATATATATATCAAAGTTGTTTTGCCATAAATCCGCTAGAACTAGTGAAATCCCTTTAATATGAGACAGTCAAACCATCACAAAAAGTTATGAGCTACTGTCTGAGTCATTATCATGTAATGGTTGGTTATTTCTATTGACTTTTGACATCGTATTATACTACTTTTATTGAATCAATTATCTTGTTTATTTAAATTTTTTACCAGAGAAATCAACTCTACTATTTTTGTCTCGATGTCTTGCTTCGATGAGGAAAGTGGCGACCCGATATGCACAAGATGTTCAAATGATAACATTTATGTATTTAGTTTACTTAACTAAGCTCTTTTACAAATCGAATTGACTAATGAAAATCATGTTCTGTGGAGATCCTTACGCCAACCAATAAATGCACGGGCAACATGGTTGGCTATCTATACGAATATTCATCATCATTTGAACGTTAAGGTTATTTAAATACCAATCTCTGGAACGATTTCAAGTATATGTTTAGGAAATAATTGTTAGCTATTTGCAAACATATAAGTTCTGAACACTTTAATAAAAAAGGTACAAAAACATGTCTAAATAGTGTTCCAACCATTGTGAGTTAAATGGGAGGGTGAAACAAGCTAGTTACGAGATGCCTGGTTTAGATTTAAGCAATAATAAATGAAAATTCCAAAATCACATTCCCATGTAAATTTGCCCCGGGATCCCCCCACTTGGCGATATATATCACCACTATAAACGGGAAATTGTCTAAATGTTGATGGTACATGAGGCATAATAAACATGTTAGACCATGAGATTTACTAATAATTATAAAACAAAAACTATGAAATCTGAATACCTCGATAGGACTGGGTAATCTATCTGCATTTATACTTTGAGAGAACTGTGGTTGTCTGGATACTGGACCGTTTTGATATGCCTGTTGAGAATGTAATGTATTTATCTGGGTGTTAGCACCATTTGGCAATGGAAACGGACCTGGAGGTTGAGGTTGTCGATAACTGGGTGGTGGAACTCCCTCATGTCCAGGAGGCATTGGTGGCATTGGAGGAAGACGCGGCTGCTGAGGACGTTGAACAAAATCCTGATGGTTTGGGATAGGAGGCATGGGTGGCAACGGTGGTTGATTCACACTCTGTATTGACTGAGCGGAATAATATGGAGGCTGAGATTGTGGTTGGAAAGTCTGTCCTTGATTTCCAGAATAGTAGTTAGGTGGTGGCTGGAAGCTGCTGTTAGGATGACCTTGCGGGTAAGTATCTGTCACATTTGAGTTAGAAGCACCATAAACGTGCTGACCAGAAACACCGGGGTAACCGTATTCTTTCTCTGGCTGCAACGACTGACGATTGTACATACTCTGACCATTTTGATTGTGTAACATTATCTGAACTTTAATGCATTAGGTAAAGGAGTCACTATAAAAGTGAACCAATAAACGAGAAAACCCTGTGACGTATTTCCTTTACGAACACAGCGGTAAATCCGTAGGACAAGATGTAGTGCGTTCAAACGACATAGACTATAGAAACAAGGAAACTTATTATTTACACTAGTGTCGACCGCAAAGCTTACATTGTGTTTAAAAGAGATGTGAAATTTGTTTGGCGGTAGTTGGGAAGGACAGGGGGGTAAATTGAGCATTCACGATCTCGCCTCGCGAGATTCGAACCCGAGACTGTTATTAAGTGTAAAACATTTCATATCTATGCACTGTATTGCATCGTCTTGATAATACCAAAAATTTCGAATTGCCTTTCATTTAAAACACACCTTATATGTTTATTGAATTCTCAGGTCTTATGAGCATTTTCATAAATTGACCATCATTAAAACGACGAATAAAATTGATGTGTGTACTAAACTACCAATCAGGGTAGAGCATAAAGTTACTGCACATATAAAAGGGAGATAATAATTTTCAACTGCCGTAAGAAAAATTTTACTGAGAATAGCCTAATACGATATTTACAATACGGTAAAATGCTTAAAGGAAAAACATATAATGAAAGAGTCACAAGAAAAACAAAGTAGCATGAACAAAGAGACATTAAAATAGAATACGAAAATCGTTTAAATGGTTCAAATGGTTCAAATGGTTGTGGACGGAATAGAAGAAGCTTTCGCTTAACAGACTTCCGTGTCTAGTAGCAGGGGATCACCAAATCCTCCAGGCAGGAACCTAGGTATGTTAACAATAAAAGAGGAAAAGAAATTGGTAAATCATAGTGTGATGCTGTCCTTGGTCCTTAAGAATAGGTCAAGTTGTCTCTTGAAGGACTCCTGAGAAGTCGCTTGAACTAGCTCAGCCGGCAGTGAATTCTAGCTTCTGACAACTCTTAAGGAGTAGAAGTTGTGTCTACATTCCGTCTTGCTATGTTGTGTTTCCAGTTTCTGGGTGTTACCCCTTAGGTTATTATTCAAACTAAGCTTAAGTAGGTGTTTAAGAGAATGTCCAGAAGTGTTAAGAATACTATAAGCCATTAATAAATCACCTCTAAGACGCCTATACTCTAATGGGTAAAGGTCTAGTGAATGGAGGCGTTCTTCGCAAGGTTTAGATTTGAGTCCTCGAACTGATTTCGTGGCTCGCCGTTGGATACGCTCCAAAGTGACCTTGTCCTTTTGGAGTGAGGGGGGGGAGTACTATGTTTCCGTACTCTAAATGTGGACGGATGAAACTATTGAAGATTGTGTGGAAAGTTCTTCCGTCAAACTGGCCAAAAATGCGCCTCAACGTTACCAGTGCAAGGTTTGCTCGGAAGGCATTTTTGTCACAGTTAGCGTAAGACTTTAAGTCATGGGGCACCAGAACTCCTAAATCTTTTTCGACTTGGGATACTACTAGAGAGGAGTTTCCTAAGTTGTAACTGTAGTTTGCGACATGTCGCAAATGGACTACTTTACACTTTGAAGTGCTAAAGGTAAGTCCGTTATCGTCTGCCCAACTTTGAAGTCGCGTCAGATCCTCCTGAAGTGCCTGTGTATCGTCTTGGTTGCGTATCTCTCTCCAAAGTTTCACGTCGTCGGCAAAAAGTAATAAGTCTGACGTTACCTGTTGAGGAAGATCATTTATGTAGATCAAGAAGAGAAGAGGCCCTAGTACTGAGCCCTGGGGGACCCCACTAGGACATTCCATAGCCTGAGATAAAGTGAAATTAACCCTAACCTTAAAGTGTCGATTTTTTAGGTATGAAGTAAGCCAGTCGATTAGAGGTGGTTTGATACCTAGTCGTTTGAGCTTGTTGATAAGACACAAGTGGTTAACCTTATCAAAAGCTTTTGAGAAATCAAGGTAAATGACATCAACCTTTCCCTTGCGATCGAGGATGCTTGTCCATCTGTCCACCGCAGTCAGCAGGTTGGTTATACAAGAGTAACCCTTCCTGAAACCATGCTGTTGGGGTGAGAAGAAATTTAAGGACAGTAGATAGTCATTTAAACCGTCGCATATCAGGGACTCCATGAGTTTTGAAGGTAATGACAGAAGAGCCACCGGCCGATAACTTGAAGGTTCGTTGCGTCGACCACCTTTGAAAATTGGTGTGATGTGAGCCAACTTCCAATTTTCGGGTAATTTGCCTAGGCTAAGCGAGTGTGAAAACATCACGCTAAGCGGCGTTGCCAGGATTGAGGCTGCCTCATTTGACATACACAATGGGAAAACCAAGGTCCTCAATTTCAAATCGGAGAACAGCAATGCAATCACTCTTGATGGCGAAACTCTGGAAGATGTAGAATCCCTCACATACCTGGGAAGCATGATCGATGAGCAAGAAGGTTCAGATGCAGACGTAAAGACGAGAGTTGGCAAAGCAAGGGTCGCATTCCTACAATTGAAGAACATATGGAACTAAAAACAACTGTCAGCCAATATCAACGTGAGAATCTTCAATACGAATGTCAAGGCAGTTATACTTTACTGAGCTGAGACTTAGAAAACTACAACAACCATCATCAAGAAGGTGCAAGTATTTATAAATAGCTGTCTACGCAAGATACTCAACATCCATTGACCGGATAACATCAGCAACAGCCTTTTGTGGGAAAGAACAAACCAGCTTCCAGCTGGTTTGGAAATGGTTAGGACATACATTACGGAAATCATCACACTGCATCACAAAGCAAGCCGTGACTTGGAATCCTGAAGGGAAGCCGAAAAGAGGGAGGCCAAAGAACACAGTACGTCGCGAAATAAAAACAAATAGGAAAAGAATGAATCACAACTGGAAGGAGCTGAAAAGGATTGCCCAGGACAGAGTTGGGTGGCGAGTGCTGGTGAGCGACCTATACTCCTTCACAAGGAGTAACAGGCGTAAGTAAGTAAGTAAGTAATTGTCATGACCTATGGTTGACTGCTGTGACTGCGTTATGTCACATGTAATATGTATACAAAGATACGCGAAACATGTAATAAATCATCTGTGAGAAACAATAATTTTTATAAATGGAAAACGAAGATTTTATTTGCTAGTGATTGGTTTGGTCGGTTTCATCAGACAAAACCAACCAAGAATACAGTCAGCAAATATGGGAGTCGCCATAATGTAGTGTAAGGCAAAAGTAAAACGGTTGTAAAAAAACCAAGAACATTGGGGAGTTAAACACTGTTAAGAGGTTAGAAACCCGAAGAAAAAACAAGGTACGTGTGAATAAAGAGCACAAACTAGATAACGTGAAATACATGCCAAGAAGAACAACCAAAAAGTATTCGGACTGGGAAACAAACCCTACTCAGTTCATTTAGATACTCTTAGCCCACACCTATCATAATATGGGATCGTCAAAGGAATTTTCAAGTAGTTCCCGAACTACGTTTATTTGCTGCACCTAATTTGTCTATTGATTAAACAATTGTTGATTGAATAACTAGGCAGCAATACTTGTCTAGGTAATGCTGTACATTTATATTTATAATGAAATCTAGAACCGTCATTTACTCAAACACCATGTTTTGGTTTCAACTGAGCTATAGCGTGTACCTAAACTAACCTAGACAGTTATTTATCATTCCAAACTTATTTTGTCTGGAGGCTACAAGTATTGTAATGTTTTTTTCGCTATAGACATCAAAGTGGCCACTTTACCCGGATTCCAAGAAACAGTAATCCATATTACGTTCTGATCTTGAGGTGTGACTTGACATCATCCCCACTCAATTCAAGTTGACCGTGGACATCCAAATAGATCCCCTTCATTAGCAATCTACACACCAAATTTCTCATAGTTCTCACCAGATTAGATTGTAGGGCCAGTGAAATGTCACTATTCACGTCTAACTCGAGTCGGCCTCCAATCATTTCGACATAGATCATCTACGTTTGTGATCTACAAGACCAATGAAATGTTTCATTAGTAAGTCATACTCAAGTGGACGTCCATTCAAAGTGGGATGAGAAAAAGTCGTAAGAAACCCGTGCAATATGTTATGAAAATTTTGATAGAAAGCTATCGTGATGTAACTTTCGCGCCACTGAGTACCCCTCGTCTTATTGATAGGAGAAACCAGACTAGCCTTGAATAAGACGTTATTTAGATCGTGAGACAGAAAACAATGGAGCACGAGATTTTACAGCACTTGGCATAAAGTAATAGATTTAATGTTTATGTAAAACACGGAAGTGAATGAATACTTGAGCCATAATGTTTTGACATCACTAAGATGTTTATGGCTAAATCTTAATCAATTAACCTGAGTTCTTACAGAACTTCGCTCCTCGACCAAATTATCTTGACCTTTATTTTTTAGAGGAAACACGACATGAACAATACTTCCCTCTCGAAATACCAGGGTTCAGATCCCAAAGAGCACAATTCTCCTATTCTACCAAAGTTGTAGTACTAATTTACAGAGGCTGATTGCTATTATTAATTATCATATACCTGAAGTCTAAATAAACACACTGATGATCACCTGTCATTGGATGTGAGGGATTGTTACGCGAACGACTTACTGCGTCCTCAAACATCTTAAGGTACTAAATAGACGCGGTACTCTCAACTTGTGCGCCACTTGGTGTAGTTTCGGGTTTGTTCGTTACGTTATTTTTAAACTATGGGACTTGAAAGTGTGTATACTGTTTGATCACAAACTTAAATAACATCAAAACGTCATCTTTCCTGCGTTAAACAACCGCGTTAGAGAAAACTAAACAGTTCTATCCAAACTCCAACAATTAGGATAACACGTTTTATCTGTTTTTATCCAAACAATATGCATTTATGTTAATGTTCGGTCTCTACCAAAAAAACTGCTGATTAAATGGGCAGTTGTCCGATCGGATACTCTACTTGTCCAACACTCGGATGAAACACTATATATATAGTCTGTTTCATCCTAGTGGACTATAGTTCATTCAATTCTAAATGGACTTTGGGAATATTCTCAATATTCAGTACCATAGGTTGTTACTTAAGACATCATTAATGGTCTCTTCTGGGCGTTTTTTGGAAGTTTTAATTAAATGACTGAGATTCTTTAACAAGTTGGGTAACTCTGCCAACCCACTAGTCATAATATTTGGACTTGTAATGAGCTGTTTCAGTAAAGTGAATTATTTTGGGCTTATCTGGTATTAAGTGCTATGCGTGTGCCATTCTAGACACTGTTGTCAAACAGGACTTGGAGAAACCCTGAAATATAAAAACTTGGCTTGCCAATGAAGACGAAAATTATGCAATGATATTTATTAGCATAATTGATTTGTATTTTTACTCACTCCTACTTTCTTTCTCTCTTTCTCTTTAATCCGATTTCTGACTGTTCTAAAATCGTGTCAACTGGTGTTATCAATATAGCTTAGGTACTTATGTGGTGTCAAGTTGTGTTAAATTAAAAAGGATAACCAAGTAAAATATGAAGTGAATGCAGAATCTAGCGAAACGATCCAGACAGATGATACATGGAATAAATATTGGAACTCATAACATTTCTTTAAACCGTTCAAAAACAAAATCTACAGATTGGATTGCCACTCGCCTCGTGAGTTTTACGTGATACCTTAGGTCAGTTAGTCTCATGACCTCTAAAATTTTGCCCAGTGGTCCAACTGTCCAAGGTAATTGCTATAGCCACTAAGCTACCGCTTCACACTTAAGCTAGAGAGACTAAGGTGTTCTTGGGTCTGTCAAGCAACTGTTGAGTATCTTTATCCTTCAAATCCCAGTACATGGATATACCTATCCACGTATCTCGAGGTGAAGAACTTTCCGGCTAACTCTATCGATTTACATGTTCCTGACATAGGATTTCATCAAGAGGTGTATTGCACTAGCGAATGTTGTTTTCCTAGATAATTTTGATCATATTAAAATTCACGGTGTGCTATTTTATAAAATGACTGCATCACATATCATTCATCAAGATTGTCAGGTACTCATTATTCATCTTTATGATCAGCCATAGGCAACCTAAGATCTTTAGTGCGAGTACCAATATAAGTCAACACACTGCATGTCAACACTGTAAATAACACAAAAGCAAACCACTCGATCATAACGAGAATAGGGCTTGGGACAAAGCTGTCCTAGCCCAAAATAATGACTAGAACTGTCGATAATTGAAAAAGATAAATATAGGGAGTGTAGTTTCAGAGAAATTAGTAAAATGATAAATTGAATGATAAATAATATCCACACCGCCAGAAGTGATTTTTATTCTTGTTACCTGAGCTCTTTAACTTCAGGTTAGGATTATCACATGACATCCAACTAGGAAGTATCGCTCTTGACATAGTTGAAAATCGCTGACTTCGTGAACTAAAGACGACTTACGTCTGCAAATCCTAGCTTTTCTGTGCCTACTTCTATCATACCCAGCCACTTGTCGCCTTATTATTTGTACTTAGGACCTTGTGACCTCAGAATTATTCGAGATTTAGTCTACCTAGAAGTCTAATCAACATGAGTCAGATGATCACTCGTTAATGCAAGTTCTCAATTTCCAGAAATTAAAATAGATCCAATCTGTATATAGCTTGTTCGTACAAAGTTACTTGTATGTTTTGATAGTAAAGTGTTGCAGTCAAAAGAAGCACTGTAGGTACTTGATAACTGGAAACCACTATTTTTTTGACATAAATAAGAACGTAAAAACATCCAGATAAAAATTTGTTTCTTATTCGAAAACACTGACAGTCGTTGTAACGGTAGATGACTGATATTAACCACTCAAACCTTAGAGTCGCACGAATTAAACCAAAACAAAAAGACGTTAAATATTTATTTAACACAAACAAATAAAACATGTCCAAATACACTAAATTTTATACGATCTACATTAATTACCAGTCAAGTTTGTATACATTATACTAACTTTAAGCAATCTATAAGTTTCTTTATGTACGCATTTACAATATCATAAAATTAAACGTCTACAACCATTATATGTTACTTGTGCTCATTTACGCTTGTTATCCCTGGGGGAGGAGCATAAGCCGCCCACCATCCCTGTCCTGGGCAATCATTTACAGTTGCTATTCATCCATTTTATGTCTGCTTCTGATTCCCGACGTAGTATGTCCTTCGGCCTTTTCCTTTTCACTTTAAGATTCCAAGTTAGCGCTTGCCTCGTGATGCAGTTTAGTAATTTCCGTAATATATATCTTATCCACTTCCAACTTTAACTACTTTCCTCTTCATCTGGAAGCTGGTTTGTTCTCTCCCACAGTAGGCTGTTACTGATGGTATCCGGCCAAAGGATGTTGAGTATCTTGCGTAGAAAACGATTTATAAATACTTATACCTTCTTGATGATGGTTGTAGTAGTCCTCCAAGTTTTAGCTCCATACAGTAGGACTGTCTTAAAGTTCGTATCGAAGATTCTGTCTTTGATGTTGGTGGGCAGTTGTTTTGATATGCAATTTATACTATGTAATTACCCCTTCTTAACATTCAATTACATTTTTAAGACTTGTAGAAAAATCTGTTTCATACATCCTCACTAAGTAAGGAAAAATAAGTTAATTCGTTTGCCAGGTAGTTTTATTTATTTATTTATTTGAACACATAAATATTGGTACAAGAGGGCACCAAATATATATGTGCCAGGTAGTTAGTTATTAGCGACACTAAATTCAAGAGCTGGCGATACTATCTGATTGCCAAAATCAACATGCGGCGCGTATACAGTCACTGCCAAGGAAGTCCTATTCACTGCCCTCTCGTGGCGGTGGTGTTGTTTACTACATTGAGAGGACGAAAAGCGAGTGTCCGGCACTTTGACCGGGTTGATGGATGTGGACGATCCATAGATCAAGTGACTTTTGTGGCGCATATGTTTTCGGTGCCCCTTTGTACCACTATTCATGTGTTCAAATAAATAATAAACAAATAAATACTTTTTTAACAATAGAATCTCACTGTGTATCTTTAAAAATAGTTGATTGTTTGTTCTGATTGATACGTTTTACAGGTAATGGCTTATAAATCCAGACATCATATTGAAGTAAGCTCAGTTGCACTGGTAGACTTAAAAGCAGAAATATCAAGAAGACAGATTGAAGTTAAACAAAAAGTTGAGAAACATCCAGATGGCTGTAATGTGATAAGGAATCGTTCTGCTGAATTAAAACCTGGCAAAGTATCACTGTGGAAAACTTCAAAAGAACAAATCTTAGAAGAGCGTACAAGGTTGGAATCTGAAAACATACCCTCCGATGCTGAAGAGTATGCAGAATGGGAAAAAAGTAGAAGAGCATTAGAAGCTAAAGCAAAACTCTACGATGCTCTACGAGAAGCCGCAATGTCTGGAAAGAAACCTAATTTGACAAAGAGAGATGAAAATGATGGAGACATTCTGGTTGATTTTGAACAAAAAGCCACAGAAAATTTAAATTTAGTTCCTCCAGATTCTCCTACGCGTTCTCGCTCTACTTTTAGTAGCGATGAAGACTCTGATGATTATCCCGCTGGTTGTAGTGATGAAGAATGGGAGGATTACACAGATGAACGTGGTGTCAAACGAGTTTGTATGCGCAAAGACCTGTCTAGTCACATCAAGCAGTCTAGTCCACCTAAACCAGATGGTCCACTCACATATGCACATTTGAGAGAAGGAGAAATACGCGATCATGGTGTTGGATTCTATTCTTTTTCTACAGATCTTGAACAGAGAGAGGCTGAAATGAATCGCTTACGAGAACTTCATCGGGCTACTGAAGAAGGACGTGCTCGAGCTGAAGCGATTCGAGCGAAAAGAGATGCTAAAATGGGTCAACGTCTTGCACGCTTGCGTGCCCGTAAAGGTTTACCAGATGTAGCAACTGCTGCTGCACAGTGTCTGGGAGAGGCTGCAGTTCCTGCAACACCTACTCCAATAGGTGCAGATGCCCAATCTGATATTCGTCTGAGTAACGATGATCTAGATGTTGCGTCTATGTTGCGTAGATTACGCGATGAAGCTGAACATAGAGCTGCTATCAATAATAGTAAATTGAGTGAATCGATAAACAGTATCCCTCCTGAGCCTGAACATAGAACAAATTTAGCTGATGTGCTAGCATCTCAAAATCCAAGCCGTCCATCCTACGGTAGTAAACAAAGAGAATGGGATAAAGGAAAGTCAATGATTTCAGCACAGCGTTACATTCAAGAAGAACGTGATAAGCGAATTGCAGACTTTGCCCCTCCATCTCACTATTAAAATTTATTTTTTTTTTTGTATATATCTTTTTAGCAGTGAAATATCAAACTTTACCTATCACCTATTGTTTTTACAAAAAGTTCGTCTGTATTTGTATGAATGATATTTTAACTTCAACAGACATCATTTTGTGATACATAATCTACCAAACATCTAAATCATTGTGCTATACTGACTAGCTTAGACTATAGTTAAAAAAGGCTGTTAGTCTCCAGATCATTGAAGGATGTTAGTTATTAGAGTCACCAATCCATCGATATAAACTGAGGTCCATGTTTATTGATTGAGATTCGCGAGATAACAGTCGGTCGTAATTGCGTTGACGTATCCGCTACAAAGCCTATCTCAGGTCGAGGCACGGCGGATACAGTTGTCATTTTGAGAGATATCATCCTAAATTGTACATTACCTTCTAACGGATAAGAACAGGATGAACTCCTGTTAGGTATCTGGTGGAAGTTTATGTAATCTGAAAATGGGGTTTTCAATAGTGAACTGAAATAATAACGTCAAAATAATGTTTAAAAGAAAATCAACTAAACAAGACTAAGCAGCTGTTTTACTCCCAATTTAAAAATTCTCATTGTTGTTCAGTCCTCACATCCTCGTATTTTCGCGATACAAAAGGCGCGATACTATTTAGTTGCTGAGTTATGTAATATAGTAGTTTAGAATTTCTAACTTCAATCCACTCATAATATAGTACGATAAACATCAAATGTTACCAGTAACTAGTAACCCTCACTGTCTATGATTCTGTATGCATGTCTGGTTACCAGTGCAATCTACCAAGGATTACTGAACCAAAATAACGTGGTTGTCCCGTATTTTTCCTGCTTTTCAGTGATTATAGATTGTCTTCAGATATGAATTTTTACGCTCACTGGTGAGAGAGTTATTTCCCGGAGTTCTAGTGAGAAGTCATGATCAGTGAAATTCAACCATATCGGGTGTAGGGCAGTTATCTGCCATTGGAAGATATTTTCTCAGTAATGCAAATTGATTTATGTAAGAAATGTAAACCATTGTTTATCACCAGCTCAGTGGAATAAAGGTTAAATAGGTTTATCACCGTAGTTGAGACGACCATTTTATTCTTTTATCTCGATCAAATAAACTTCAGGAATTGAAAAAAAATGTTAGGATTGTCTTGATGAGCACTCATTTGCTGGATACCGGTTCATATACTTGACTTCAATCCACATTTTAAGCATAAAGGATATTGATAATACCCGGTCTTTTAGCCACTAAGTCCCAAGTTCAAACACCACTCTACCTACTTCAATTTGACTTTCTGAGAGGTATCATTAGCCTTCACACCTATTGCGGCTAATACTCAAGTACCTAGTGAGTTAACAAAGTCAAATCAACTACCCGGACATCCGATCCAGAATAGACGGAGTGAAGCTCAAACCCACGATTTAGTATTTGGAAACTGAATACTTTAATCACTGAACTACTACTCATCTTAATTATTTGTTACTTGAATTCCAATTTCAACGTTACATTGTAATCACCCCGTATATCACATGAATTCTTGGAAAAAGATTTCCCATCTTGAAGTTTATTTTAATATTATCTACATTTTCGTATTGGATATTACATCAATATAGAAGTGTTTTAAAATTAAAATACAAAATTATTAGAAATCCATAACTTTAGTGAGCTCCTAGTAGAAGAATATCTAGAAGTTAATCTTATGTTACCATCGCGAATTGAATTTGTTTTTAATGTTCCCAAGTATGAATGTTTGTTACACCACTGATTTTCTTAAATTATTTCACACACAGGAGCCACTATCTGATCAGATGTCTTGTTCTATGGGTCATCTTGTTAGTAATGATGATGAAATACATCCGGAGAAATTCCCGTCGATTTCCTCAACTAAGGTTCTTACTCCTATTGAAGGTTCAAATGAAACTTTTCGTCAAAGGCAATCAGACGTTTTTTCTGCACTAGCTAGCCTAGAAGCAGCTCATCTTGAAGTGTACAAGGCTACAAAAGAAGAACGTAAAGCTGTGCGTAAAGCAGCTTGGCGCCATACAATTACTGCCCCAGAAAATTTAGTAGAGTTGAAAGAACGTGTAAGTGTTTTACATTTTTGCGTTTTAGATTTTTTTGTTTGGTGTTATTTGAAAAGTGTGTTCAATTATATCCCTACTTAGCCTAAAATTCTTTGATCGACTGATAACCAAACCCATCACCTACCTCGACACACAATATCTACTGACTCAGGAGCGAATTAGAAGAAAGCTATTCTGGTTAGCATTTTTTTAGCAAGCTTTACCACGGGATGGAGATGCTGACCCCACGCCCGACCCTCCTCCTTTACCCGGGCTTGGGACGGGCAGTAGCCCTAGAAGAGCTACAGGCGGAGTTTGGAAGAAATCTAGAACATATAAAAACAAGATGTGGCATTAGTCCATAAGGCAACTGATTTTTGAACCGAGCGGCGTAGATTGGTGCAGACTACCTGGTTACGATCAGCTTGATTATCATAACTAATGGTAATTAACTTTGAGCGGTATGACTCACAGTCGATAGAAATACCTCAGATACATCCACTTTTTCTGCATCCTTAGGTTCTTCGTCTTAAAATTATCCGATACTTTTTTTATTCTGCGAATTCATTCATTTCCTAATCAATTTCTAATTCATGCTACTACCATTGATACTGTTACTACTACTCTGATATTTAACTTGATGTGCTGGTATACGATCTGGGAACTCTTAAACCACTGCACATATGCCAGGTTCTATGTTTTTATTATAACCGAATAACTTACCGAAAAAAAGGAACTCCTAGAATAACTGTTTAAAACCATCAGGTCAACTTGTCAGTTCATCAGTTGTATATCTTATATCAGGATCTATATAGCTTCCGTATATGATGTCTTCGTTAAATCACAAAAATCTATCTGACGTTGTTCTTCGATAACATAGATCAGTTCACTTTTTATTTCAAGATCTATGCTGAGTTACTAATTTTTATTCGCTTTATTCAACTTGAGTTATACGAGGAGACAAAATAATTTGATACAATCTATTATAGGACACCATTTTAAACGACTGTGTAAAAATATGCTACAGTTTAACTCTCCATACTTTTTAAACCATTTTATATTTCCCTTCTTTAATATCCGTAAATTTTATGGTATACATGTCAGCATGGTAGTTTAGATTCTCCATGAAAATTTAATTCTTACGTTTGGAGTCTGACTTTTTGAGATAATTCCAATCAATCAAGTAGTATAAACTAAACTAAGAGATTCCGCTGCATGTTTGTCGTCTGAAAATTTCCTGAAACTCGCAAAGAACATTAATAATATTATTGCTTATTGGCTGTTACAAACTAACGCCACCTATAGTGTCGGTGAGACATTCGTCCGTCTTTTAAAGGGTAAATATATTGCGCGTCACTTCAATGTCTAGTGTCATAACCTTCAAAAGTAGAGGACATTCATATTCAACTATGTTAGTTTGTTAGGTAGAAAAGCCTTGTCATCTGAGGTCAGTCAGTCAGTCAGTAACAACGTAGAACTTCGTACGTACGTACATCAGTTCGAGTTGCCACACCACATTAGCACAGAGATGCAGTTGTCGATTCAAATCCCATAGTGGTAGAGGTAATAAGAGTATAAGCAGTAATCGGGAAGATTAGGGTTTGGAGATGTTATTTAAAGAGTATAATCCAGTGAAATAAATTTGGAAAGAAGAAAAAAGGGACATGAAGAATTCAGAAGATTAGAATTTGGGAGAACATAGAGAGTGGATGCACCTGCGCCATTGCAAACGATTTTGAGCCATGTCATTCAGGGTCTCTAACCATCGGTTGCTATCATCTCGCGGTCCCCAACCAGGTAGTCTACACCTACCTGGTCATCTGAGGGTGCTGGGACATATGTTGTGCATGCTCTACTTCTGGCTACCTTGATGTGCGATGATAGATTAAAGTAGGAATAGGTTTGAGAAAAGTTATTGTCAAACCAAAGAAGCACCAGTATGTTTAGTTATTGAATTGTTGATCTAAATTACTTTGGTAAGTGGTAGGCACGTAATTAGAGCCAGTGAAATAATTGTAACCAATTTCCATAGCGCATAACCCACTGCACATAGTAGACAGATTGATTCCTTGTCTTCTAAATCTTGAGTTTAGTGTCTTTCCATACTCTCCTCTGTTTTGTCTCTCATTGCTGACGAGATTAACTCAATTCTTATCCTGTGCGTGTTGTTAACTTCATGTCGTCGTGCTAATAGGAACGTGGATTAATGTAAATTTGTTGTCAACTGTGTTGATTGTGACTAACTCCATAATATACGATGAAACAACAATGTAGAGTTTTGAACTTCACAAACGTTCGTCTGTGTAGTTGTGTTTTGCAATAATTTATGTTCCTAAACTGAACAGAAACCATAATTTTAGCTGACGAATTAAAACATTAGCAAGTTCTCATTAATGCTCGTTTGGCTGAGGAACGTTACATTTTGAGTTGTAAAATCACTGTGACCGTCATTACCCCTTTTTCGATTGCCATCGGACCAAGGTCAGTTCGTGATGCAAACTATAAAATCAAACAAGACTCACACCCTAACACTAATTGTAATTCAAGAGGCACTCGGAGTGTTAGTGAGGAACCATCACCTATGGAGTTCAACTATATATCAAGTTTGAGGCAGTTACGCACTATCGCAGAATTATTAAATTAAGATATGTGAAACATCTGATCCCAACTTATTTTTTGAAGGTTAATTATTTGCCATGAGACCCGGATATTCTGAATTCGATCCCTGATGAATTTGTAGATACGCAATGCTGAGGATTAAACATCCATCTGGTACCTTTTGGTTTTCAATGGTTGTTTGACTAAAATTAGTGAACAATGAAAAATTACTTGATGTTGATATTTAATTTTATTATTTAGTTATAGTCGTTTTAGACAAATATGAAGTGTATAAAATGCATAATTATTTCAGCTGTGTAACCTTCTATCCGATGTGTCAATAAAAAGCCAGGCCATTCATACAATGTTTTTGTTGAATCATTAATCGGTCAAGTGCTAATTGCGATCAAATATCTTGTGTTAAAATACAATAAGCTTTGGAATATATCTATTTGAATGAATACTGCTTGGGTTTGGTTGTTGTATAGTAACGAACTAGATTTTACTGTTTAATCCACAGATAATTTTTTGATATTTGTAAATGTTTTCTCTCTCCTTTAAGCTATATTTTATTTTTAGCGCGATCATGTTCAAACAGCTAGTGGTAAAGAGCATGGAACATGTCAGACACAAAATCCAACTTTTCGAAAACCTAACGCCCTCCCACCATCAACACATCGCCGACCAAACTATGTACATCGAGATCCTAGTAAATGGACACATTATAGTTTAGCTGATGTTAATGAAGATCCTGATGTTAGTAATAACTCACTCGCTATGGCTTTAATAAATGAACTCCGACAATCTCGAGACAGCACAGAAACTGTACAAAATGATGAGGTCGGCTCAACAAACCCACATCATAACAATCGAATATTGTTTCGTCCAACACGAGGTAGAAAACGGGCTCGTCTCACTGAAGACAATCTACAAAAACCCGAAGTGCGTCTAGAGAGTTGTTTTTACACGCCGGATACAGATGAACCACAAAGTTCCACCGATGATTCAGTACCTTCGTCTCATCGTAGTGAAAGTTCGTGCGCTCCTGTGGCAGTCTTTGTGAATCGACGGCACAAAGGTCAGATACGTAATCGACAATTAGATAACCCAGCAGATAGTGATCACCAGTCATTTGATGATCAACCGGTAAATACTGTTGTAGTTAACTCAGATTATGATGATAAAATTGATCAAGACCTTGATATGGATTCTGATGAGTTAGAAGAAGATCCGGAAGAAGATAAGACAAATGACTACTTAGCTTAATTTGTGACATGTATTTAATTTGTCTTCGTTATCCTTTTGTTTGCATAAAAACAATATTGTAATTAAACAAATTAAATATATCTTGTACAGATTTTTTGTTCACTAACTTCACAATGTTGGTCTTTTATTCACCACAGTAAAGTCAACCAAACAGTTGTTTTGATCTTTCAAATAATGCTTATCGGTAATACGATTACACAACTTCGTGGGATTTAAGTGTAATTTATCTAGACAATCTAAGCTACAATTTGTCAGTGAGTGAAAAGAGACAACCGAACGCATCACATATGATGGGCTAATCTAATAATAGTATTAGTCATTGGGTAATGGCCAATGTTATGTTTGTCTAATCCAATAGTGCTAATTAAATCCTATTGAACAAGTTGTTGTGTTGATGCACTAGTCTGATGCAACATTGCGTGAAACACACTGATGTTTGGGCGCGGCAAAAATGACTCGCTGGTAACATTTATTGATTGTAGAACTTCGTGACCCGTGTACAGATCTCACTGGGAGAATCAGTTCGTGTGAAATTAAAGATACGCTTTTCCGACGAGTGCCAACTGGTATGGAATATAAACTAAGCAGTTTCCTACCGACTACATTCAACGACTTGACAGGACTAATTCATTATAAACAGACTTTTTCCTACTCTGATTTTTTAATATCAGTACACTTTTGTGTTATTGATATCTAAGTTTTTATTAAACATTCGGGCGAGTGTGTCTATTCTCATGTTATGTACCAATGTTCCCACGATGCAGAATATTTTGACTGGGACTATCTTATCAGCAATAATGAATGAACTTTTGCGGTAATAGAAAAAGCTTATTGAGTTGCTATTGGGTAAATATGACAACAATCGAAAACTAACGCTTGAAATTCTATCTTGTAATTGTGTTATTTTTGAAGTTAAAGCCAAATTTGACATTTGATTTAAGGTGGAATTGTTTCAGTTGCTCAACGTTTGAAAAGTAGATAATAAGAATTTCATTAATGTGTAGTTTGTAAACATTAATTGGAGGTATGATATGTGGTAAGCATTGTTATATTTGGTGTCAGTTGGAAATTTGATAGGCACTCAATGATAATACACAAAACCGTATGAACTTACTGATGGTTTTGCCAATCATTTCAATTCTCAAACTGAAAAACATGTCACCCAAAAGCCATAATCAAACGTCATAATTTTTTATTAAGGTCAATCAAGAAAACTCTAAAAAGCACATCATTGCATCAGTCTAAACTACATTATCCATATGATGATCACAGACCGGTCTGTATTACGGCATCTGCTAAAGTGTTAACCCTATAAACGATGATCAAAACGCAAACAAACTCCATTTGAGGATATGTTAACTATTACATGCACAATATGTTTAATTGACGGTATAAAGAGTATCACTAGACGACGTGGTCAGTAACTCAACTAATTACTGAAGAATAGAAAGTAATTTTGTATGTAATGATTGGATGAAACAAAATAATGGTGCATCAAATTGATTTACTGGAACTTGGAATGAATGGCACAGTGATGAGTGAAAAGTTAGATATGATAAAACTGGAGAATGAATCGGTGATAGACAAGTTAGGGAAAAAATTTTCACATCACTACCATTTAATCAATGTCTTATAACAGAGCCACCGCTCTACTGCATACATACGATCAAAACAATAAATTACGCTATGACCCAACTCTATACATTATTGTAAGTAAATAGCAAATAATTATTAACTAATTTTGAGGATTTAAACATTCTTAACGACTAGAGTTAACTACATTGTTATATTTAGTGAACATGTTGATAAATATTAAGGACCTACAAACTCACTAAATGAAAAGCTTTTTATGTTCTACATCTTTTGTCACATATACTTTTTAAACGTTACAGATCAAGAAACCAGTCGGTTATTCATAATCGACATAAAGCCTGGCACAAATATGTGTAAGTTCAATTTCCTTACCATAACCATATTGACGCGACGAATATGAAAAGGAGTAGAAATAATGATAGCGAGGAAGATTAAATATTGAAAATACAATTTGAGAAAACAATGGGAACGATATGTATGAAGAAATACTGGAAATAAAGATAAAGTATACATGGATCAGCGCTGTTGGGATTAATTCTGAGTCATGTTTTCATTCAAAGTCTTCAACCAATAATCGTAGTTATCAAGCGGAACCCCAACCAAGTAGTCTGAACTTGCGTAAATGGCTCAGTCAGTGACTTCATAGATTGATCGCATGTTTTGAGTTCCCCGCTCCTAGCTTTCTTCCAACCTACTACACTAGTCAACATCCTGCGCCGTGGTGGGTGATCGTTAGGCCTTAATCATTCAGTACTCGTAAATTGTTTTTGACTTAAAACCTATATCCTTTGAAATTTAAAATTTTTAAATACGATGATAATAAGCAAGCAAGAACAAAAAATTGAGCTCAATTCTTTGTTTATGGCCTATTCAAGATGATAAAGGGGACCAAATGTATGAAACGATACCGTCAACTTTTTCACATATTTTAGGAATGTAGCTGTAAAAAAGCAACAAACCTCAACCCGACATAGGAAGTACAGACAGAAGAAAATGAATCACAATTATTTGTAAGTGGTTTACACTGATCGTTTACAATAAAGTGATCACGTATATTTAAAACCAAAATACATGATCAGGCAAGTAAAAATATGTGTGATAATGGTACATATTACCATTCATACACACAGAACAATCAGGAATGGATGAAAATAGAACGTTGAAACATTATTGAAGTAAATACATCATATTGTATATAAATTAGCAAACAGAAAGAAAAAACACTTGTTATTATTTAGTAACTTGGTGTATAGCATGAGCTAAGTAGTCGACATTTTTAGATGATAAGCCAGCGATACTAATACGTCCATCTTTAGTTAAATAAATAGAATATTCATTAGTTAGCTTTTCAACCTGAAATTTAAAAAGATATGTATGCTTATATAGGAATCACTGTAATACGGGAAATTAAAATACTGGTTTATTTAGTCCGACCTGGTCATGAGGCTAGTATAAGTTAATCACTATAATTTTCTGGGCTAGTAATGTTCTCTCAAAGTCAGTACTCAAAACGTGTCTTTGTATTGATATCACTACGAATTCCCTATATCACTTCATATACTGTACCAATGTGCACCATTGGTTTTACATCAGGGTTTTCCAACCCGTTCAGGTGGATCCTCCATGTCTATTAACCTGGTTAAAGCGCCGGACATTCGATTTTCGTCCTCTCGATTTTGTAAATAACACCCCCTCCATGAGAAGTCAGTCAGCCACAACGTAGAATCAGGCAAATATATGCATCGGTCCAAGTTGCCATACTTCATTAGCACAACAAGATGAACACCGGATTCATAAAAGTAGTTAATTCAACGGTGGTAATATATAAAAAAAAAGATTGCATATAAGGATATAATACAGGAAGAAAAAATTAGTTAGTAGAATGAAAGATATGAAGCGATTTTAATCTCTTAGTTTAAGCGAAGACAGAGAGTGTATACACCTATGCCATTGTGATAGATTCTGAGCCATGTCATCTAGAGTCTCCAACCATTGGTTACGATAGTCACGCGGACCCCAACCAAGTAGTCTGCATCTCCCAACATGGCCTCAGACTAGAAGTTAGTGACTTCAAGCACTGATACCACGTTTTAGTTTGGCCGCCCTTAACTTTCTTCCATCCATTCCCAACACTAGTCAGCACTGCACGTCGTGGTAATCGGTATTCAGGCATACGTAACACGTGGCCCGACTATCTCAGGAGATGAGGATTCACAACCGCCACGAGAAGGCAGTGAGTAGGATTCCCCTGGAAGTGTCTGTATACGCATGGCCATGTGAGAGCATTTCGAGTGGGAGAGAAGACTCTCTCAACCCTCGTCCGTACCAGGGCATTTGAGGGCACTAATATAGGCTCGTAATTTCAATTAAGTATAGCAAACTCCGCAATCCATAAGGATAAATAAATCAGTCGACGCACTCAAATACTTCCCCGCACTATGATGGACCTAGATGACTCAGATCATCCTGAAGCAACATTTCGCATTTGGAGAGAGAAAAGGACCTTTCAAATATACTTGTATCGTTACTCAAGACAATCAAAAGATTCTGGGTTTTTTCAACATTATTAAACAGCAGCATGTTATCTGTCTATTCTAACTCGATAGTCCGAACGTCCCCTATCAATTCTAAGACAATAATAATAATAATAATAATAATAATAATAATAATAATAATAATAATAGTAATAATAATAATAATAACTCACCTGTGATGGATTAAGCCCAGAATAGCAAAACATTCCAATTTGATTAGTGATATGTGACCAATCATGATGAGATCCTGCTTTGGTTAAACTATTTCTTAAACTCTGACGCATTGTAATAATACGATCAGCCATAGTTTTCAAATCAATGAGCCTTTTTAAAAATATGTAAATAATATCGTAAATGAATTGAACAGGCGGATGAATCGACTGATGGATGTAAAAGTTGGGCAATTGTTCCAAAGCTAAACATTTATTTCACATACAAACATTATGATAGCTTAGTGTAATGCCAGTAGCTTGGATACTTTTTAAGAATTCCATACCAGTGGCTTTTATATCGCGCATTAATTGTCGATACTGTAACCGAGCAGACAAGAAAGAAAGAGGTGGTCACTTTATGATATGGCGCTGTGACGTGGAAGAAAACTATAGGTCTAGCACCTACTGGCTCATCACCACTCCTTGTATGGATTAATAACGAGTATCCAACTCAGAAACTTGAGGCGTTCACTAACATGACTCAGAATAGAAACCAGTGTGGTCACTGCTGTAGTTTTCTCACACATTCTTCAGGAATATGAGAGGAATCCCCGTATGCATCGGTCATTTCTATCATACACCGAGTATTGACTATGATTAATCCATTATTTTCTGAGATAAATTTTCAAGATCCAGATTTTATTCAATATTTGTTTGGTTGGATATATTGAGTGATATATGGTTTAGAATCGGTCACAATGGTCCAAGGTTAATTTACTGTTTTCTCTAAAATTCCGAAGTTCAAAATTATATCAGATCACTCACTCTGAGAATTAATTGTTTCTTCTCGAAATATATCATCTATCCCTAATTTTTTTCTGATACCGCTGATACTATTACTATTTCTACTGTTCTGGCATTGAACTTGATAATTTCATCTTGCTGTGAAGATATGGTGCAACAACTTGAACAGATGCACTTACCTCCCAAGTTCTTCATTACTTGAATGACTTGCTTGAATAGACATTTTAACTAAGAGAAAAATTTTGTAAAGTTTACGAAGTGGAGATAGCTATGCACGTTTTTACACTTAAGACAAATAATTCTGAATGAAAGGAATTATAGATTGTAAAAAAATAAGTGTATATTAAGTAGTCCGGTTATAAAACTTAACAATCTTCACAACCTCATAATGATAGTTATTATGTGCTCACTGGTGACTAGCTACAAAAGAAAATTCCCGGAGTTCTAGTGATAAATCGTGACCAGTGGAATGCAACTGTGTAGGGTGTAAGGAATGTTAGATGGTCGCGCAGTATTTGGATTGGCTGGAGTTATACTTTTACATGAGCGAGAGATCAAAGGACCTGGGTCCTATCCTCGGTTGCGTAGACTTGAATGAGCACTGCTAGGGTTTTTTATACTGTGGTGTGTGCTACTTATATCGACATAAATAGTATATAGCGCGAGTTAGGATTAGAATGTCTGACAGCAAGAGATTGAGAAGGGAATAAAGGGAACAGAAAGCAATTGGTATGAAAATGAAGTCTGAGACAATTAATGAGCATTTTGCAAATGAAGTATTAGAGTATGATTTTTACCAAGTAACTCTGTAATTTTGTGCTAAATATAATCGGCTGTCCTCACCTGTGTTCTCCTTCACTACAATACTAAGAAAAAACATCCATCCAGTGCTTCCAGATTCCTAATGTTTGTCTAACGTAGACCGGTTTGTGATTTCAATATACTGAATATACTGACTTAATGGAAGAGATTCTCCAGAGCAGAATAACATTCAAAGTAAAATAAAAATTGACAGACAACTATTACAGCTGGTTATTGCTATCAAACAATTGTCAGCTGTTGTCACCGTTTATGATAAACTGGTCGCTGTGTACAATATAGATGCTCAAATGAGTATCATAGTAGTTCAGGATTCGGTTGTATGAAATAACGTACAACACTTAATTTGGGTTTCAGTAATATCCAACTTTACTTCCACCATCGTTATTTGTAAAGAACCACTCATATTTGGCGATAATACTGAGTAAATGTTTTAGTGTTTCAGAAATGTGATTTCAGATGTAATTGAATAGATTACTTTATAAATGTTACTGTAGTGAACGAACATCCAAGTTGGGATAAACGATTTATTATTTAATGTAAAATAAGTTTTTTTTCGTAAATTGTGATAAGCCATAGATTAAATACTTCATCTGCAAATCTTCAATCAATTGTTTCAAACTTCACCATCCCTTTATTGCTATTACAATTACTTTCTGTTTACATTTCTGTTATCCTTAATCCGATCTTCTCAACCTTCTGCTGCCAGGCATTACACTTCTGATTGGTGTTACATACTACTTGTGCCGACAGACATAAGTAGCATACACCACATTCCTACAATGAAACACCGCCTTAAATGGCTCGGATATATTTTGCAATTTCCATCACAACAGCTTCCACACCATTCATTATTTACCAGTGCTGGGACTCAAATAGAAAACGTAGGTGGTCAGTGTAGGATATGCCATCGTGAGATGGAACATACCTGTGTTGAACTGACTACTGTTAGTCTATACCAACTTCCTAGATAGGGTATCTTAGGAATCACGCAACATCGTAGTTTTTGATGTGACCAGACATGGTTCGAAATAGAAAGAAGAAACCTGAAATAATCAATCACTGCATTCTTTATAAAATCAATATGGTTATTCCAACTGAATAAAGTCCATGTTGATTGTTTTGTTTATCCATTAACTGTATGATCTGTCTCATATCTAATTTTTTCATAACTTTACCCGTTGACCTTGTATTTAGTAATTTACAAAACTTTGTATATTACTAATAATAAATAAGTCACCTGGAAATAAAACAAGACATCAGCTAGCAGAAGTTTGAAAAACATTAACTTACCACTTTTGACGTAAATCAGGATTAGACATTAATTCCGTTGCAATACGTGCGCCATGAATCGGTGGATTACTATACATTGGTCGAATAATAATCTTAATTTGTGACAAACAACGTTCGGCTTCATCAGGAGATGAGCAAAGTAAAGTGAAGGCACCAACACGCTCACCATATAGTCCCATGTTCTTAGCAAAACTTTGTGTAAGTAATATGGTGGGGAAATTTAATTCATCGGTAAAATAACGTATTGCTTTTGCATCATTATCAATATTGCCGGAGGCAAATCCCTGAAACATAAATTGATAGACATTAGTAAAAACAGAAAAAATAGATATTACAATGAATAATTCTATATATTAATAAATGTGCTTAGATCGGAGTTTCTGAACATACTTACATGTAACGAAGGGTGTATTATGCAAATAAAAGAAATTCATAATTATTAAACGTTTTGTATAACATTCATCACATGTCTTATTGAGAGATTTCGGGCGTATAAGTGTGATCTTGAAGTTTCGATGTAACTGAGCAAGAATTAAGCTTGACTCTTAGACACTTGTCGCATTACAGAGTTCGGATATATTCGAATCATTAATATGTCAGATGATTTTTAACCAACACTTATTTCTATGTTCGCAATTCTGTGTATCAACGTTATTTTGTTAGAAAACACTTATTCTACTGCGCAGATATTTTGTCTTCTGACATTGCACAAATTGAGAACCTATATCAATACTTTGGTCAATGAGGAAACATCACTCAGCGACATTGTATCATAACATTTCATCCACCAATTAGCATTTAATCTATTCATCCCAACAATTGAAAACCTGATTCATCCAACAAACTTCTATTCTCAGAGGGGGTTTTGTGGAGATTTCAGAAATTTCACTGATTGAAATCATGAGTCAATTGAAGCTAGACGACCATCGAAGCACTGGACGGCCGTTTCTAGTGAGAAGCCGTTACTAGTGTTCAGTCAGGTCTGTTGTGAGATATCAACTCACTGAAGACAATGGTGGCGCAACTTCGTGGATTGGTTAAAGTCAGACATTAACACCGTTGGATTTCGGCTCAGTGGTCTAGTTGTTTAAAGGCCTGGCGCGAGACTGATATGTCTTGGGTTCGAATCTCGCGGGGGGCGGGATCGTGGATGCGCACTGCTGAGGAGTCCCATACTAGGACGAAACGGCCGTTCAGTGCTTCCAGGTTTTCCATGGTGGTCTAGCTTCAATTGACTCATGATTTCGATCAGTGAAACTTCTATGCATAAAAAAATTTTGACAACCGGATTTTACAAAAATGAGATGTTTAAAACAAGTTTGATCAACTCACAATGCTCATGAGAAATACAGTTGGTATAGATCAGCACTTCAAGTATATTAGTTTTTTATCGATAACCAAAGATCCTTCGTGATCTTTAGAGTTCGATAAACAAACATTTGCTAAATACAACAGTGTTATTTGAGTAGCTCAGTGGTAACATTTCTTAGGAAGGACATGGGTTTCAATACGATTATATGTACAAATTACTGATAAATAGATCTTTACCAGTGTCAGATTTCGAAATATAAACTCCCATTGTCATAAAATACCTTGCATTATTATTAGAAAGTAGAGCAGCCTGTTGTGTCACATTTTTAAGGATGCTAGATTCCCAGAAATCACACAGTAAACGTCTTATTTTTATATAATTTCATTTTTAAAAATTGAATTGATAAGACTATAATTTACGGACAACCTTTGAGCGACGCTAAAGTGACCTTGAGAATGGACCAAATGAGAGTTCTAAACTAGTGTGAGGAATTAGAATTATGACTTAAAGTTGATGGTTAAGGTTAGGAATTAGATTTATGGTTTTCATCACGAACTAACATCAGCTGTAATGCCAAAACGCTATTTAGCCAAATGGATGAGTGAACTTCGCGCCAAAATCCAAGACCTGTTATCTTACACCTGATTGGTTCGTCCATAAATTATAGTCTCGCCATGGAAACCTCATTTTAGCACCAAAAGTGCCCACTTTTAACTTCACTTTGTATTTTCCACTTGGAAGGACCTTAAATGTCATTGATTCGCTTCCTCGTTTAATACGCTATTTTGTGACGTTTCACAAAGCCATTTTTACACTATATATATGAGCTTGAGTTGTGTGTTTGTTGTTTGTGCTTTCGACAGCTTGTGAAATGTACTTTCTCTTCGGCTGAATCTGATTTTCTTCCTCTAGTCAGCAGGGCTGGGACTCAGTGAATATTTTAACTTGTCTTGTTGTTATGTTGCTGATTCTTCGTTCCGTCGGCCAATTTTAGGTGATCTCGTAATCTTTTCGGACGTATCGCACTTACTTAAGTTATCTGTTCTACGTCCTAATCGACTATGAAGAATTAAACGCAATCAAGTTGGTTGTCAGCTAGGATATAACCAAAGACCGATTCCGTTTAAAACTAACAAAAAGAATATTAATAAATTTTCTTAACGTACTTGGTAAGCACAGTCGAAAAATGGAATCAAACCACGTGATTGCAAAATCTCTCCAATTTTCTGCCACTGATCAAATGACGGATCTACTCCAGTAGGATTATGTGCGCATGCATGAAGTAGAACAAAATGTCCTTTGGGAATTTTTGATAAATCAGATAAACAACCATCTATATCGAGACCACAAGTATTACTATTGTAATAACGATATTGGTGTACATTTAGTCCACTATGTCTATATTTTAAAAATAAATAGACGTTTCTACAGTCACATACAAAATGATCACTCGAGAGAATTATCAAACAAAGGAAGTTAGCACCTTGTAACATATGCATACCTTTAGTTTCACGGCCACGGAGTAATACAGAGTGAACTGTTTCATAGTATAGGTTCCTCAGGCTGGGTGATATTAGTAGGTTTTACACACACAGACACATATTTGGTTAAAAGAAAAGTAAACAAACCAGTGTACTTGCTCATTGAGTTCCTTATTGATTTGATTTGTTACTTCCAAACAAAAAGCTTGTTGTTCAGTGTTCGTCTAAATTAAATTGTCTATATCTTGGAGACAGACTAATAGGTTTTTCGTCAAATATTTGAGAATAAAAACTCTGCTACTTTCAATTTAAAGCATGATCTCATTGTATTTCCTCATTAAGTAACTAGAAACCAATTAGTAATATTTATCTATATATCTGCTTTGATAATATATATACCCATTTAACCAGAGAAAGTAGGAGTTTAACGATACAAAATGACGGAAAACAATAACAGCTAGTGAACTGTTTTAGTAACACATCAGCCGTACCCTTCAACAACAGTTAAAGCTACATAAGTCATAACTTTCTACGACAACGAGAACCATTTTCACTTCAAAAATCGGCTTCCAATAACAAATAATTATTTTCTAAAAATGATGAACCCACGTGAAAATAGGCTTATGGTTGCCCCAAGTAGGTGTTGGCATCCATATATGTTTTTGTTCCGCAAATTCATTCTAAAAAGATTTTATCCAAAATGACAAGACAACACCTACGATAAAAGATCCACCGATTCTAAGGGCTCCTGTACCAGATATTGTCTGAGTTGTAGCGTTCTAAATAAAGTATAACAATGGCATAATACAACATTAATCTTATCTAAAATCAACAAAAATCATAAGTCTACCGTTAAGATAACTTACAGCTAAAATAAGAGTTTGTGGTCTTCTGTTACTTCATATTGATTTAACGGGATGAAAAGTCAAGATTACATTGTGATTTTTGGTCAACATTGCTTTCGTTTTAATTTAATGTAATGATTACTCAGTGTAGTATTTGTTTTGCTTTCCCGTATGACATTTTATTCTGTACAACATATGATATTCTTGTATTCAATTGACCTGAACTATGCTCAGCATGACATGTAGCATGTGATTTGCTATAACCCTAAGTATTGTTTCATATATATGATTTTATTCTAATTGTTAATCAAAAATGAGTGTACGAATCGATAAATAGACGAATGTATTTTCGACTAGGGTCGTCGTCATCGTGTTTTGAGGTTAATAAGTCTTCACTTGTACTAGGCTTTGTGTTCTTACTTACGCATCGTGAAAATTGCGGTGGTTTCTCACTTTACAAGTATAAATGATTAGCGATTCCGTCATAACAATCAGCGACGACCAAATATAACAAAGTAGCGTTCAATCAGAAAACTTATCACATATATACTTGTTCGTCCTGCCTTTTTGAAGCATGTCAATGTTTCATTTTTCTTGTTATTGTAGCCACTACGTTTTTTTGCTACTCAATGAATTAATTTCATATATTGTGAGTATATGATACGGCAACTCAGGCCAATCCCTATTTATGTCAGACTTCACATCAACTATGACTGATTATCACAAGATAGACGTTTTAGGATTATTTACTATGTAATTTTGCTTCTCCTGGAGACAATAAACCCACACGTCTTAAGTAATTCATTTTTATACGGATGTGAAGACTTCCCAACACGAATTTCGTATCTATATTTACTATCAAAGTTTTATATGGTCCAGGTCATTACGTGTTTCATTTAGCTTGAATTTAAAATTTATTTCATCTCTCTGTTTACATTTAAAATATGAAGTGAATTACTTCTAATAACTACCCACTTAGAACACTAAATATTTTGCCTGTGTTGAGGAATTACTTTGAACAGAAATATACTGGGTTTCAGAAATCTATGTATTATTGTGTGCAATGATTTTTCTGAGTATATTAACATGATTGGAACTAGCGTTTATATTATTTTTGGTACAAAGTAATACTAAACAGATGTAAGCTTAAGTGTAGACAAGGAGTGTATTGCATTTAAAATTTACTCCATGCTTTGGATATTAGCATTCAAGCTTTCTATCAACCGTTTTACAATTGACTGGATAAAACAGTAACATTTTAAATACATCGTTTCCTACACCTTACTCTGCAACCACGTCACCATTCTGACAATATTCCAATGTATTAGTTAGATCAGATTTAGATATTTTTTACATACTACAGATTGATATCTGTGACATACTCAGCTTGAAAAACTAGTAAAGTATTGCAAAGCGAAAAATATCTGAAACCAGAGTTTTATCCATATACCAAGCACGCATATATGCGTGTCTTATAAGACAAACTTTGAAGCTTAAATTCATTTAACTAATTGAGTTTTAAATTATGCATTTAACTTAACATATAAATACAATAATATCAATGAATTGGATGGGACGCGAGTTAGTATCAACCAACCCCAAAATTAAGAACAAAGGGAATAAACAGTCAAACTTACACAGCGATTTTTGATTCGTGAAGACTGATCAGTAAGTGCAAGCTTAATGGACAGATCGCAAAATTGGGGGATGCCACTGATCGGAGCATATTCTTTATTCAAATTTTTCGCCAACAAAAGTGATTCAGCCTCCTTGACAGATGGTAAGACGAAGGGTCTCCCATTATCATCTCTATAGGCACCAGCCCCCAGATTAATCTTCTGAGGATTGGTATCACGATTATATGCCTCGGTAATCCCCAAAATTGCATCTGGAGGTCCAAGTTTAACATGGTTCCAATGAGAACTACTACTGTGTATATAAATGGAACAGACGTTACCTCAACCCCCTAACGACATACGTGAAAACTGAAAATTTGCTAGGCATCAGAATAAATTTGAAAATTTTCTAATCACTAACTTCAGGAAACGAAAACCTGTAAAGAAACAAATGTTAGTTTTAAATCACATCTTTTGAAATAGTGCTGTAGTCGTACTAGAAGAATTATGACAATTCCGGGTAGTATCCCAGCCCTCACACAAATCGAATGATTTATGGTACACATCTGCTTGGTGACTCCTTGTACCAATGTTTACGTGTTTAAATAAATGAATAAGCAGACGAAAATTTTTATATTTGTTTCAAATCCATTGCCTTCTGTTTCATTGATTTCCTAGGTTCTATGGGTGCATAGTGAGAATAGGTGGACATTACATGTATCGAGACCTACACTGTCTTTTACTGAACCAAAATCCATGGCTAGCAGGCAATCACAGGTAACAAGCCTAAGGCTACCCAGTATTTACTGACCATAGAAGAAATGTGGGTATCATTACCAGGGTTTAACTTGACAATTTCAGATAAATTGAGATATTATAAAAATATTATTTTTATTCATAGAAGAAATGGCTTAAATTGACAGACAGGGACTATTTCGCTTCGATTCTCGAGGATATTATTTCAGACACACCTACCACACTAAGGAGGAAAATTATATACGTAAAAATTCCAGTGACTGAACTTAAAGTAAACCTAACATTTTGCTCGGCAAACTAGCTCGACTTTCTTCAAGAAAATTTAGTCAAATAACAAAATCACCGAATATAAATAAATATCGGATTCTCCAGTTAGCCGCTAAATAAACACTATAATCGAACATGTTAACAGTGTTGAAAGAAAAATGTTTTTCAGTGCGTATGAGACATTTGGTGAGGTTGTAAATTTTGTGGAAGTGGCCACGTTTCTCTAGCACGTAGAAAGCCTTTTAAAATATGGCCCAGCAAAGGTCGATTGGTAGACACACTGAAGTAAAGTGCGCCTTTGAAGTTCTGTACACAAACTGTAAGATTTTTCGAAAATTTAGCAAAGATAATTATATTTGTTAACTAGGAAGATCGGGAACATCAATAAAACCAAGATAGTAAAGAAAGTGAAAAATCAAAAGAGACACCTAAGCTCTCAACAATAAGATGATATTGGTGTGTAAACTGATACAATATAACATGAAACCTACTAACCGTAAACGGCGAATTTGCTGCCACGTTAAAACGTACTCCTGACAAAAGGCCCGCCACAAGATTATTTAAAATCTTTGACTCGAGAAATATTTTTTTCTTGCAATGTGATGGTCGTCAGAACGGTTTTCCAACCGATAGAAATATTTTATTTCTCCTCAAAAAATATTTCATAAGATGTGCACTCGTTAAAGTACCAAAAGATGCCCGAAGCCTAACTGACACTGGTTTTGTATGTTTTGCTGTACAAACTAGACGTTACTGATCCAGAAGGCTATGAGCCTCCTAGCCTTAGCCTGTAAGAAGACAGATGGTGATTGCTTTGGTAACACAAGTACTCACAGTGAAGAATGTGTCATTGTAGTACATGCCGTTACGGGACGCATCAAACATTCGACTGGGATTGACAGAAAAGTAAATTCTCCGTTAAAACTAACGAGTAGTGAAATGTCACTTGATGTTGACATGAGTAGTCATGCTTGTTCAGTAAAATTTGAAGAACCGGACAAAAATAGTTCCGGTATGACTGCCTCGAGTGATAAAAAATGGACGGCATTGCGGAGAAAAAAAATGAATGGTAAAAAGCTATAGGCGTGTAGATCACCAACGTAGATGATCTATGTCGAAATGATTGGAGGCCTACTCGAATTAGACGTGAATAGTGTGACGAACCAACTAACGTCGAAGTCACACCTCGTGGTCAGCACCTTACGTGGACTACCCCCATTGACGTAACAAGGTACTATAGATGTTTTGAAGACTGTACAACACAAAGGACGTTATTACAGAAATATATTAATTAAGGTAGATACAAGCGAAAGTAAGACCACTGCCGCATGGGCCAGTCCATGGCGTATGATTAACCAATGCGCGTTGCTTGTACATGACCTTGGCAGGGAGCGATGATCTGTTCGACATTTATTGATCCAACTGCCGGATGATTTGGCTAGGGTTCAGTGACATTTCACTGGCCCTACAGGCGCTACACACTTGGTTGGCAAGTGATTGATGAGCTTCCATTCTGAGTCACAAACTACACTACCAAAGTCTAATAGTAAGACAATGCTTCACCCTGTCGTGGCTGGGAAGAATTTAAAGTCATCGAATATTATTGTAAGTAATTTGCTAAAGCCAAACGTTCCTGATCCCATAATTATACACGCGCATCATTCGGAATAGCTCGAAGAATTTATCCATAGCATCTTACCAAATAACTTTCAAATAGTTCAGATAAAAAATTGATAAGAATAGGTAAGAGGACCAAGGACAGTGTTGAGCCCCGATCATGTAGATTCCCTTAAAGTAATCCTAGCGTCGGAGAAGCAATGTGACCTGTTAAGTAGCGCCCGTATTCACGACATTGCCGACATCCGAGTCAAACCCGATATGTCACTCAAAGATATAATAAAAAGAAAGTCGTCACAAGCTGAACTAGAAACCCACCGACAAGATGGTGGGGAAAATCTCCGATAAGCGTATTTCCGAATAATCAGGTCTTTAAAGCGAATGCTACCAAGGCTTGTCTGGATGGACTGTTATCCCTAAGAAATAAATTTTATGGACTAGAGACTTTATTTGATAAATCAAGGTTACTCGTTGTGGCTGTGACGGAAACTTGGTTAGTCTGTAGTGACATTGGACCATAACCACACAATCCTCAAAGCTGAACATGCAACTACTCGGAAAATAGATATTCAATATTTAAAGCGGAGAAATACCTTACAATGGAAAAGGTGGGAGCAATGAGTTGAATGAATTGGAGTTGATCGTATGGCACGGCTAGGCCATGCAGGCGTGATCCCTGCGAAATGTTACCTTATATCTTTTGTTCATATTAAATATATTGTTCTTTCTCTAGCCTAAGCTTGTTCGCCATCATGTATTGATAATTGTTACGATACAGTGAGTTGGTGTAGACGATGATGTGACTTCCACGTAAGATCTTATAGATTAGGCAGTTATATCGTGACAAATCTACAAGTATAGGATTAGGTCTACTATTAGAGCAGTACTAATATCACAGTAGACCATAATTCTACGAGTGTTCGCTTTGATTGTTTTGTTTTTTTTTAATCGAAGAAATGGACATAACGCTTGCCTTCTCCTTTGTGTATGTTGAGATCTACTGATGCAGAGACTGATGCTACACCACTTGTCTTCATCTACATTTGTTGATGTGAATGCGATAGAAGGCCAGCTCACCTGCGAAGTCTAAATCTTCTAATTGATTCCGAGCTATCCATTGTACTCTGTGCTTCCCCTCAGATTTTCAGGTCTTCATAACCCCGTCGATCACCAGAAGATAGGGAAATGGAGGGAGTAGGCAGCCTTGTCTGACTCCGATCACCACTCAGAATGCATCTGTCAGCTGCCCTCTATGCACCATTTTGCACGGTAGTCCGTCGTATGAATTCCGTATGGTACTGACAATCTTCTGAGGTAAACCACAGAGTCGAAGAAGTCTCCATAATGTTCTCCTATTCATACTATCAAATGCCCATCATGGTCTATGAAGTTGACGTGCAATGACAGCTTCCATTCAACTGGTTGCTCGACTATGATCAGTAGTGTCGTGAATCAGTCTATGCACGATCCATCTTTGTGGAATCCAACCCTTTGATCTCGAAGTTAAGCGTCTACTAAGTCTTTCATTCGCTTCATCAAACCTCTGTTGATAACTTTTCCCAGGACTGACAGTAGTGTGATTCCCCCCCCAAAAGCCCTGGTATGGCCTAGAACGGGGTGGGTTCGCCCTCCCTCTTGAACTACTCTCACACGGTCACGCGTATACAGCCCCTACCAGGGAAGTCCTACTCACTAACTTCTCGTGGCGGGGGTGTTGTTTACGAAAATGAGAGGACGAAAAGCGAATGTCCGGCGCTTTAACCGAATTCCAAATCAGTGGTGCACATGGGCTCCAGTATCCTGCGGGAACAAATGGTGTATGAACCAATTTTCGGTCACTGGCTACCATGGGACTGCATCTCTTCACGATGCTCCACTGCCTTGTGGGTTAGACCATTATGTCAAAGGCTCGGGGTGTGGCCCTCTAAGATAACCACCAGCTTCGGTCTGGGCACCCGGGCAGCATCGCAGCCCACACACAATTAATGAACTGGACTGTAGTTCTTACATCTACTCAGATCTAAATTTTTTGGTATCTTGATGAGGTATCCCACTTTCCAGTCTGTCAGCACTTGTTCTTCCTTCTAGATCTTCCTGAATAGAACGTAAGGCATGCTTTCAGTTACTACTATGTTTGACTTCAGTTGATATATCGTCAGGTCCTGCTGCTTTTGCTCTCTTGATTCGTCTGATGACCGGCCATCCTAACTTCTTCCGTCTCTGGTGTTGAGATATCTAAAAGAAGGTCTGTGGGTGCTGTTTTGATTCCCAATGGATTCAATGGAAATGGGGCATTCAAGAGTTCCTCAAAGTGCTCCACCCATCTATTCTTCTGTTCTTCAATCTGAGTGGTTGATTGTCTTGCCTTCTTTTTCCTCTACTGGTCTCTCTGGTGTACTATATTTACTCGTCAGTTTCCTCATCACGTCATATATCTGTTTCATATTTCCTTCCCTTACAGCTTTTCCACTGTCGTTGCTAGCTCTTCCATGTATTTCTACTTGTCAGCTCTAATGCTTTTCATCATCCACTTGTTTGCTCCTGTGTACTCGGCCTGAGCTTTGACTTTATCTGTTCTTGTTTGGGTGTTGTTAAATACTCTCTTTTTTTGTTTTTTCCATTCTTGAATCTTATGCAGGGTTTCCATAGAGATCCATCCCTTATAATGATGCTTATAGCAGACAAGCACCTCCTGACATGTTGAAGTTAATGTTTCTTTGATACCCTTCTAGTTGTCTTCTATAATAGTTTCTTCTTCTTTCAGTATATCCTGTAAGGTTTGGAACCTGTTGTTCAGAGTTATCTTGAATTCTTCAGTTGGTATTTCGTTGCAGTTAGTATTTCGTAGGAGGGCTCTATTGAACATTTATAATACTGTTTACCCAGCTGTCCAATGTTTCTTTAGCTTCACTTTCATCTTGATCACAACCAGATGGTGGTCAGAAGGTATGTCAGCTCCTCTCCTGGTTCTCACATCTTCCGTTGAGCTCCTGGATTGTTTATTGATACAAATATGATCTATCTGGTTCTCCGTAGTGTGGTTCGGTGAGATCCATGTAGGAAGCAATTTCCTACAGGTGTAACTGTAAGCTATTCTCTACACTGTCGAGTACAGAGTCTTGGCTTAGCCAAAGTCGGAACAAATAAGCTATTTTGCTCGATAAATTTTATCGGTTTCTAAAACATAAGTTAACACCGTTAGTATACAAAATAAACGGTACGGTCTACTGAATAGGGAAAAGGAGAGACATAAATAACATACCGAGCAGTAACTAGAGGATAGGAAAAATGAGTCAACAAGGCGAATATTGTTTTATTACTAACATAAAGTTGTGATTGGTGAATAAACAAAATGTAGTCATACAAAGTCAAAGAAAGTTAATGTGGTGGTAGGTGTTTCACTTTATCATTGGTGAGTTCGTTTATCGATCACACTTTACAATCCATATAGCTTTAAAACAATTAGTCCCTTTGATAAATTTCGATAATGATATTAGAAGACGAAGATTATCAGAATTATGTGATATGTTAGCGCAATACATTTCAAACAATCTGGTCACATATATACTTGTTAAGAGCATTTATATATAAAAATAAAAGGTCAACTAGACAGGAAACGGGGTAAGAGGAGATAAGGTTAGTGATAAGAGTAATAATAATAATAATAATAATAATAATGTGAACACAATTAGAGACCCAATCACTCTGGATAAAAAGTCAATATTACCAGGGTAGGTTTAAGGTAAGAACAAACTGTTTTTGAACACACAAAGGGGGTTTGAATTTTCGTATGGCTAAGGCTTCAATAAACCTTAGTATACACCCTTTTACACTTTTATACAACACTACGAAAGCTAAGTTTAGATCAATCTTGTGACCTGTTTCAATTATATGTTTAGCAATAGAGGATCATGGATGTTTATCCTCTGCTCTTATTGGGTCAC